GAAGAAAATTAAAATGAGCGTAGAAGCAGCAAGCATAGAACGATGCCATGAACACATTAGGGCAATACTACGTCAGGGAAATCTTGCTGGAGAATGTACAAACAGACTAGAGATGAGCATGAACGGACTAGAGAAACGGACGAGAGAAAAGAAGAAAAAATGGTCGAGAAACTGGTTGACAAGAAATGGTTGAGAAGAAGTGGTCGAGAAGAAATGGCTCTAGTCCATTCTGGAGGTGTTGGTGTGAGAGGTGATGACGTGGAGATAAGGAATCGTGTTGATTGGTGGAAAAGTGTCTGGTTCTTTTGATTGGTTAAAGAATGTTCGTTGGTTGGGTACAACGGAACGGAGTTGGGGGGGTAGTGTTTGGCGATGATTTGGTTCTTCTCAAATTTCGTTGGCTTGATTTTGTCGCCATGCTTGTTGATTGGTTGTTTGATTTCTATATTTCGGTCTGCTCTGTTACAATTCGTGGTCTTCGTCTCTCTCTTTGAAAAACAAACCACACTGTAACCCATTGTACAACGCGGAACACCGCTTGGGTGAGTGTGGATAGAGGTTGAGTGGCGAAATCAACATTTTCGCCACTTCATGGTTGCGTGAAAGCAAATGGCCATTTCTCACTTCGAAGTCACTTTGGGGCCAGAGCTTTCTCTGAGCCCCGCTGAAGCTTTTCAGAAGTTTTTCCGCAAGAAAAGCTTGTGTGTACATTTTGTGGGCTCGAGACATTTCGCGATGATGAGAAGCGCAGGGAAAGGCCGTGTTTGCATGCTTAGATCGCGGCTCCAACAGATGCTCATAGTGGGAACACGTGGAGAATGCTGACACGCTGAATGTAGTTGTACCTCCTGAGACCTTATAGTAGGTAGTACCTCCTAGAAGATGAGCATAAGAATTTCATTAGTCTTGGTTGTCTTGGCATTTCTCAAATGCCGTGCCGACATCCAAATACGACCCCAACTTTTGAGACTTCTCAAATGTAGGCACACTGTAGTATTTGTACCTGCAAGTATGGGTTGCAGCTAGCATGCGAGTGCCTGACCGCATTGCCGGATCGTAGCTTTCGCTGCAGGACTTTGATGCTGGAGTTTACTCAAGAGTCACCTCCATTGGATTACCACCTGTTACGATATGAAGTTTTATGAGAAGGCATTCTTGTATGCTGCAGGAGCCGACTCTAGCGAGTACGAAGTCGAAGAGTCAGAAGAATCGAAGCGACACAACAACCGTCTGACCAAGACCGATGCATGCAGAAACACTTAAAGTGAAAAGAGCGGGAACAGGTTTGAAACGGGTTCCCGCGCCGCACGGTTTGAATTTCTCGCTGGAATAAGGCAATGTACCCCTTAGAGTACATGGCTAGTCTAGGTCCCTTCGTATTCCCCTGTACTCTTATGTAAACTCGATGTATGCATGTTTTTATCAATTCAGTCATTTACATTCACTCTGACCTGAGATTCAAACTTCCGCTGCAACACCACTCTGCAATCAACCCTGAGCGATCCTTCGCTAAGTCCCCCTTGGGATTGTAACATGGTATGAGAGCTACTCAAGGATTCTTCGCAACTTCACTTCCGTGAAATTCGCCGAACCCAGATCTGGCGAGCGGCACACGCTCCAAGACCAAGATGGCCGGTGGATCCGGAGGCCAAGCAAATCTGACGGCAGAAGGGCAAACCAATCCGGCCGCGACAAATGAGGCGACAACTATGATCGGCACTGCCGCACTCGAGCAGTTATTCGCTCGACTTTCAACTATGGAGAAAGAACTCCAAGACCTGCGCAAAGGCGATGCGAGAACCTCTTCCCAACCAGTTCAACCTGGACAACCGGCTACGAAAAGCCGTGATACCACTGCGCACACCTTCTCCCTCGACACGGACAAATCAGCAACAACAGCACCCCGTCCAAGTGATGAAGTCATTAACTCTGCGCAAGCACGCTTTCTTAGCGTTTCAAAAATCAAGACCACTGTCGCATTCGACGGCAAGGATTTTTACACATGGAGTTTTGAGCTTGAGCTCCTCCTACAAACGGCACAGATCTTCCACTACTTCGACGACTCCTACTATAAACCAGTGGAAGACACCGACGACGCCAGGGCTCAGTACTACAGCGAGTCCCTCATGGCGTACAGTGTGCTGCTGCGAAACATGACGCCTGCGGAACAACTTAGCATCCGCTCCTACAAAGAGAGCACCGCTCCAGCCTTGGAAGCCTGGAAGCACCTCGTTGAGGTTTATCAGCTGAAGGACTCGGTCACCGCCAGCAGGCTCCTACAGCAACTCATGGAGACAAAGATGGGGCACGGGGAGAAAGCAAATTCTTATATTAACCGCTGTCGCAACATCCGTGACCAGATCACGAAGCATGGGAGCGCAATCTCAGAAGAGATCTTCGTTAACATAATCCTTCAAGGACCCGGGCTAGAGTGGAAGCCCTGTAAAGCGCTACTCCAACACCGAGGGATTATCTCAGAAGCCGCGCTATGCGCCGCACTCCTGACTGAACAGCAGGACATAGACTCGAGCAGAACAAGCTCCGTGCCGCGCCGAGAGCGCCTCGCCTTCTACGCAGACAACTGTGAAGAGTGACAATAACCAAGGCGCCATTATTGCAAAATATGCAAAGTCTTCGGACACTCAACGGATCGATGCAAATCCCGATCCAACTATCGCCACCCAAATTCCACTCACCACAACAACTGGGTCGGCCGACAAGACATTCGTCACTCTCAGCCTCAGCATCAGACATCTCGTTCTCCTGCACAACACCAACATCAGCAAACTCAAGGACCTCAATCGGGTGCCCCTAGAAATATCATCGCAAACATGGCGACGCGGCGACGTCGCACTGCTGAACCTGACGAAGAAAACGAGATCTAAGGAAGACTCCTTGAGCCAGAAGAGGGTTGGAATAATCCCCTCACTGAAGACCACTATTACCTGTATGACGAAGACGAGCACGACTGGAATCAACCAATCACATTGCGGGAAAGCCCGCCACACGACAACCAGTGCTACGTACCGGTGGGATGGAAGGAAGACGAAGACCCCATCTTCCATAGGCGCTACAAGGCAACACTGGTGACTCCACGACTGGTGTTACTTCTGCGCAGAAACAACACAGACAATTACAACACCTGGTACCTGGACAGCTGCTGCGGACAGCACATGGTGGGATCCACGCGATACGTCTCAAACCTGAGCCGCGCTCCCCCAACTTACGTCACCATCGCCAACAACGAGCAACTACGCTCTAATGCGCAAGGCATCGTGGTCCTGCAAGCACCAGACAACAACACACAAATCTCGTTCAACGACGTGCTCTACGCCCCAAACCTTCGCTTTAATCTCCTCTCGGTAGGACAACTTCGCGACAGTGGCGTCATTCTCACCACGGACCTCGCCACACGTGACCTCATCCTAACCTACGCTCCCCCGGACACCCCTCCCGAAAAGTTCAAGTATCTCGGACGAGCCCGCTCAATCAACGGGATCTACGTCCTAGACTTTGACGTACATTCCTGCCAAGCATCATCCGACGAGCTCGTGGACCTCGTCCCTCTCGAATTCGCCTACATGGACAAGAGAGCATGGGAGCACCCAGACAGACGACCGTGGGTTCGCCGCAGTCCTGATCCCCGCGAGATCAACCTGCACGAGCCAGACATCAATGGTCTCTGCACCACCTGTCACACACCTACTGCGAGCCGCACAGAGTAACTCGCTGTGTCATCTTACCGCATCTTCGGCGAACCATCCAATGACCCCGGACGTCAGCAAGCGGAACGAACATACTCCAACAACCTCCGGTTCGTCCTAGAAGCTAACACCACCACCTTCGACGCAGAAGGACGACCGCGCCCATACACCCGCGAAGTCTACCGCCGCGAGATTGACCCGGCCTGGAAGGATCTTGACGCAGAAGGGGAACTGAGCGTCAAGGAGAAAAGGATAAGGCCCGGGCAGAAAAGAAACAAAAGCTGTATGAGGAGCGTATCGCGGCGATGGGACAAAGAATCAGCCTGACGAGGAGCATGGGGAGATGAGGATTTCGAACCGGAACCAACAGAACCAATTTCCTGGAACTCACAGAAGCAGGAGCTGGTTGCCCTGTCATCGGCTAAAGCATAATACATCGTCGCGACAGCAGCAGTTCGCGAAGGCCTTTACCTGCAGGATCTGTTACAAGAGGCGAAAATTCCAACCTCGCCCACCTTTCGCCTTCACTCCGACAACCAGAGTGCCATCAGGATCGCAAACAAGCCAGGTTTCGTGAACCGCACGAAGCACATTGCACTTCGGTAATTTTTCGTCAAGGACGAAATTGACCAAGGAAAAGTTGACCTCGCCTACTACCCGACTACCGAGATGGCAGCAGACTTCCTCACCAAGCGTCTGCCACGTCAGCAGTACAAGCACTGCTCTCACCTCACCGGAGTGGTCAAATGAGTCAGCTCCTCCTACGCCCAGGAATGAAGGGGAGTGTTACAATATGAAGTTTTATGAGAAGGCATTCTTGTATGCTGCAGGAGCCGACTCTAGCGAGTACGAAGTCGAAGAGTCAGAAGAATCGAAGCGACACAGCAACCGTCTGACCAATACCGATGCAGGCAGAAACACTTTAAGTGAAAAGAGCAGGAACAGGTTGGAAACGGGTTCCCGCGCCGCACGGTTTGAATTTCTCGCTGCAATAAGGGAATGTACCCCTTAGAGTACATGGCTAGTCTAGGTCTTTTCGTATTCCCCTGTACTCTTATATAAACTCGATCTGCATGCTTTTATCAACTCAGTCATTTACATTCACCCTGACCTGAGATTCAAACTTCCGCTGTAACACCTCTCTGCGATCAACCCTGAGCGATCCTTCGCTAAGTCCCCCTTGGGATTGTAACACCACCCACGCATGCGTGTGCCAAGAAGTTCCGATGAGTTACCATGCTAGGTACGGTACGTGGCAGGAAGTACATGGGGGATAACACCTGGAGGATAACACCTATGTACACTAGATCTTTCTCCTTTCTGTCCGCATCCCACTCGTTCCTCCCACAGAGGTCCTGGCAAGGAGACCCTATGCGTGATACAGGCTTCTCATGACCCAGTGGGGGTTGCATGCAGCCTAGTGGGGCTGTTTCTTGATTTTCACCCCCCATCTTACCCAAATCTTCCTTCTCTATTGTTCCTCCCACAGAGGTCCTGGCAAGGAGCCCCTACGCGCGATACAGGCTCCTTAATGACCCGGTGGGGCTGCAGGCAGCCTACGTGGCAGCAGTGGGGCTGTCGCACGGGATTATAGTGGAGGTTGACAATAAGGGGGTGATCACAAACGTGCTGGAGGATAAGCTGGGGAGGAACGTGGTGGCAGCCAGTGAGGTTGTGGAGAAGAAGGGGAGGCTGTGGATTGGATCTGTGATGGTTGATGACATGGCGGTCTTGAAATACTCTCCCCCCAACAACACTGTTTCGAAAAAGGAAGCTTAACCGTGAAGGTGACCAGAGAGTGACCCGAGAAACGTGGTGGCAGCTATGGACCGGGAAGCTATTGCATTGTTGATGCACTCTCCCCTTAACTAGCCTGCTTGATGAAGGTGTTCCTTGAGTGACAGGGTTGGGTGGGGCTGACGGATATTACTAGTGAAGTGGAACGCTGACAACACAAATTAGGACTAGATAGGTCTGATCAGATTGTCCCTTACCTTGGCCAGCTACCTAGATGACAACAAGCTGTATAGAGTATAAATTGAATTCAATTTTGATAGTGTACATCAAGGTGGCAAGATCAATGCCTGCTAGTTTGCAAATCGACGTATAACCACAAACCAAGTCCCAAATAAGATCCAGCCCACCGTACGATACACCTGCAACTCGCTATTTAGGGGAACTCCTGCACGGGCATCACTTGTCTGGCGCGCCCATACGCGGTATAAGCGCAGTCCACAGCAAGTACGTCGCTCGCCTCGTACGACCGCGGCGTGCCATCCAGGAACCCTTGCCCCTCCGCGCCGTCGGCGGAGATTGGACGGTGCAGGCTCGCGATCAGCTTCTGGAAGTCCGCGGCGCGCTGCGCGTGGTCGTCGCGGTACGTCTGCCCGAGCACGCCGTGGATCGCGTCGGTGTGCTCCAGCTCCGCAATCCCCACGTTGATGTGCGCCTCGGCGTCGCTCGGCGTCTGCAGCTTCGGGTGCGCCACGCGCAGGCGGAGGTCGAGCGAAATCAGGCCGTCGATCGTCAGCAGGTAGTAATCCACATCGAACGGCCCCTCCTTCTCCAGCGCGCGGAACTGAATCGTCAGCCCGCCGTCGCTCGTCACGCTGTCGCCCACCTGCATGCGCGGAATCGCCTCGCCGTCAATCTCGATGCTCTTCACGAACCCGTCGCCGCGCTCCTGCTGCTTGCCGCCGCGCGCCGCGATGCGAATCTTGTGGTCGACGCCCTTGGTGGTCCACACAATGCCGAGCTCCTTAATCCACGTGTGCACGGCCTTGCCGTCGACGACGAGAGCCGCGTTGTCGGTGCGCTCGTCGTAGTACCCACGCAGCAGCATGTTCACGTGCAGGTCGCGGTCCGTCAGCAGGCAGAACGCCTTGTCGGGGCGGCCGTTGAAGTCGAAGTGCGTGCCGTGCGCGCCCACCAGATGCGGGTCGTTGAGAATCTTGGCGCTCGGGTTGCACTCGCCGCCGATGCGCACCTGAAGCGGCACGGGCTTCGTCTCCGTGCTGTACTGCGCGGTCATCTCTCCGCACGTGAAGTCGATCTGGTCGTGGATCAGGTAGCACGCGCCCTTGCCCTTCTTCCCGTCAATGGTAATATCGGGAATGTACTGCCAGTACGTGCATGCCGGCGTCGCGGCGCACGTGTTGCAGCACGACGCGGGGTTGGCCTTGAGCAGCGTGAGCGGATTTCCCGGCACGTACAGCTCGTACCCGAGCTTGTTCTTCTGCAGGTACGCCGTCTTCCACTTGGCGGGAATGCCGCCCTTGGAGCAATTCTTGGGCGTGCACGCGCCCGCCAGCTCCTTGTTCAAACCCGGCGGGCATTTCTGCGCGTTCCACCCGGCCTTCTTCACATCAGCCATGAAGAAAGTGTCCTGCGCCGTGTCAACATATGTCACTCCCTCCGCGTTGCCCGCCGCCGCCTGCTTCGCGATGGCCGCGGGGATTTCGGTCATGAGCCCGTCGTCCTTCTTGCTGCTCTGGTCGGGCTTCTCGTTCGCCGTCGAGCTTGTGATGGGGCTGCCGGCGCGCGCCGCCACGAGCAGCAACGCGAGGGAGAGCGCAAAAAGCGCAGCTCGAGCCATTCTGACGCGATTTAATGTAAAAGGAATCAGGAAACGAAGATTCTCTCTGCGATGATTGCGAGATGGGCAAAGCTGGTAAAAGCCTATCAACTGTGCTTCTGGCTTTCCGATGGTTGCTGACGGCAAAGAGGAAAGGTTATATGTGTCCTGTCATGTCTGGTGTGGCTCCTGCCTTCCCATGTCTGGTGGCATTTGTTCGACAGGACAAAATCGCGAGTCGCAGGGTTATGTTGCGACTTGAGATACTTACACCTGCGATGTTGCGGAAGCGCAGGGCCCAGTGGCACGTGGAATGCACAAATGTCAGGTAGACCTCTGGTACTTTTGTTGCAGCATTTTCAGCCGCCCCGACAAGATTTCTACGGCATGCACTTCAATCATGTACAAATGTTCTCAATTAGAATCACAGTGGAAAACACGCGCGTTGCGAGACTTTGTGGTAAACTCACAAAACCCGGGCAAAAGGGAACTCATAGTCCCATAAAAGGAAAACCGCATGAAGAGCGATTTTCCTTTGCTACTATTCGTATTTTTCTGTCAGATACGTACATTCGGTCTACGCTGTCCTCAACTTCTCGTCGCACGGTTCGCCGCGTTGATCAGTGTCGTAGGACAGACGGGCAGAAAAATACAAAATGTATTATGTTGAAGGCCGAAATGAAGACAACATTTTGTGTTTTACACTGTAAGCGAGATTAATGAGATGGCATCGTCGGAGCTCGCGGGGAACTGCGCGACAGGATGTAGACGCAAAAGAGGTCAAGATAACCAGACAAACACAACTGCTAGCACTAAATATTGAATCGAAAATTCTTTTCGTTTTGTTCTCTCTTGTTGTTCTGACAGGTTCGATTTGCGTCCTCTGATTGGCTGTAGAACTGATTCAGTGAAGATGCAAGATTTCCCGCCAAAATTGGGACTGTAGAGGAGGGGATACACCTAGGACTTATGTGAAAAATCTACTCGTTGAAGAAATGGCACTCTTTTAGGAAGAGCCTCTAAGCCAGAACATTTGTATAGCCTCACTTCCTTTGTGCTTCTGCCCGAATTGTTCTTGGCGCATCTGTTTCCCATTGCTGTTTGTGCACAGTCCAGGTTCCCACGCACATGTTCATCCAACCTGGTTGCCATACTTGCTGTCCGCACTAAAAACGGAACTCGTGTTCCGCAAGGATAAAAGGGCCGTTTGACATGCAAGAAGAGAACATAATATTTTACATACATTGTTCTGGGTAAAATATTGCAGTAACATCGCACTATGATTTCCTTCGGGACAATGGTCCTGGTTTCCAGCGAAGGGCTCTTATCTCAACTCCCGTCTGTGTCACCCTGGTGTCTCCCTTTTGACACCTGTCCCAACGAAAAGTCTTGTGCTGATCCTGACGTGTCCACGATCGGACATCTCCTGACGTGTTTGGCTTTCCGCTTCCGCTTCCGTCAGCATTTGCGACAATTACCCCACGAAGTGGATGAGCCTCCAAGGCTTCGGGGAGTCGAACTCGGTAACCAGCAAGTCTTACGAAAGTGTATCACCGTCGTGAACCATCCACATAACCTTCTGTTGATGATGGGTTGACGAAAAAAGAAATCACTGAACACGCTGCCCGCGATTCGCATTTCTCGAGGTTGCCGTTTCGTTCTAGCATCACAAACGAGGGAGTTGCGGATGGGTAAGGTAGGATATGAAGAAAACGAGGGGGTTTGAAGGAAGGTGACACAGTAAAGCGAAACCTTGCCGCAACGCAACAGGACAAAACCAGTCTCCTGTGTGCTGAGTAAGAGTACGGGAAACAAAAATGGGCTTGATAAAAACGCCACCTCGTTCAACAAGGATTTCCCGTAAAACTTTATCGTATGACGGGATAACCGAATTCTCCCATCTTGTCCAAGTGTTGCATTCCGTTCACGCGATTGGTCTCCCTTCCTGATCAGGCTGCAATATTCCTTGTTCTTACTATTTCTTCCAGAAGCTGTATTTGCTCTTGCCTAAGTGAGGAGCTTTTTTCACCTAGATTCCTGATCCAATTTCCTCTGGTCACGTGTCTGCTAAGCATCTGTAAGCTTGTGAAATATACCACGCAGACATGGCCACTTGCCTTGGGTCAGGCCTAAGCACCTCCGTCCAGAGCTGCTCTCTGGCAACAGAGGCCTCAGCCAGCTTGAGGCAATCCGACCTTCTGGGGTGCGCGCTCCGTCAGAAGGATGTTGTCTCCGTCAAGAGGCAAGGTAAGTTATCGCCGAAGGATTTGGTTTCTGTGGAGCTAGCAACTTATTTTAGCATCTGAGAGCGTGTGATGATCGTAACCGTACAGAGACAGTGGACCGTAGCACGGGTGTACGGTCACATCTTTGTATCGCTCGATTCCAAATAGTCACCATGCCAGATTTTTTTCCATTTGCCTCGTTCAGGGTCTACTGGTTTCCAATCTGGTTACGAGTTTTGTTTTCTTTCCTGAAATGTATTCACGCGTAATAACAACTGCTGCATCTAATCCCCCGTTTTTCAGCAAGAAGAGCCACCACCGCCGTTCGCGCTGCAGCGACAGCGCCGAAGCGGGAAACCGATCCGAAGAAGCGCGTCGTGATCACCGGAATGGGCCTCTGCTCGGTCTTCGGCAACGACGTGAACACCTACTACGACAAGCTGCTCGCCGGCGTTAGCGGGGTGGACTATATCGACCGCTTCGACGCCACCAAGTTCCCGACGCAGTTCGCCGCGCAAATCCGGAATTTCTCCAATGAGGGCCTGATCGACGGCAAGAACGACCGGCGCCTGGACGACTGCCTGCGGTACGCGATTGTCGGCGGGAAGAAGGCGCTGATCGACGCCGGCCTCGGCGGGGACGACCTGAACAAGGTATGTGGTGGTGGTGGTTATGGTGGCTGTCCTTTGTGGTTATCCCGTGTGGTTGTCGCCTGTGGCTCTTGCCTGAACAAAGAGGATTGGTACTGTGGGTATGACTTGGTCAAGGTACGGTGTAGACGATTGCCTGCAGTACGCGATCGTCGGCGGCAAGAAGGCTCTGATCGACGCCGGTCTCGGAGGGGACGATTTTAACGAGGTGAGTTCCTGACAAGGAATGGCGTGGACATTCTTTTGGATAAGATGAACGTAATTAGTGAATGATGTGCACGCGATACGGATAAGGTATGCCATGAGCAAGGCGCTCTATGATAGTGCCGCTTGATTTGTGAGAGCCATATTCTTGCGTGTGCTGCCATTTTCCGTCATGTTTCTTCATGAGCTGGTATTCTATGGACGCCCGTTACGGAGATTGTCTTCAACGAACATGATCGAAACTAGAATCGACTCTGGTTACGACCATGCAGGGGAAGCTTGGTAACGTATTCGTTCAAATTTCGCCGTTCATCGTGAATTCAACATCAGCTTGCCATCCGGAGCACGTTGTCTTCGCTGAATCACCTGCGGGTGGACAATATCAAGGTGGGGGAGATTATCAGGGCTGACGGTACACTCGACCTGATTTGCGCCTCTACCAATCAACCACTGCTCTTATCTCTAATCCGCTTATCATCCCTAACTCTCCACAGATACGTGCGTCTTCGACGTTCTCCCCCCTTTCCCTCCGCTGGTGGACAAGCAGAAGTTGGGGGTGATCATCGGGTCGGGCATGGGCGGGCTGACGGTGTATTCGGACGGCGTGAAGGCGCTGCTGGAGAAGGGGACAAGCGCATCACGCCCTTCTTCATCCCCTACTCCCCTCTCCCCCTCTCCCCCCGCTCCCCCCAATGCTCGCGATCGAGCTCCACCTCATGGGACCCAACCGCTGCCTTCTGTTTCCGGATTTCCCATGTGTTTTTCCCCTCCTTCGCGACAGGTGGACAAGCAGAAGGTGGGCGTCATTATTGGCTCGGGCATGGGCGGGCTGACGGTGTATTCGGACGGCGTGAAGGCGCTGTTGGAGAAGGGGTACAAGCGCATCACGCCCTTCTTCATCCCCTACGCCATCACCAACATGGGCTCCGCGCTGCTCGCCATCGAGCTCGGCCTCATGGGGCCGAATTACTCGATATCCACCGCCTGCGCTACTGCGAATTACTGCTTCTATGCCGCCGCGAATCACATCCGCAGGTAGATTTCGTGACTGGTGGTGACCAGGTAGGTAGGTGCAGTAGCCGGTAACCTGCGGTGCAGTGCGGTTTGCATGCGGTCGGAGGCGCATCACGCCCTTCTTCATCCCCTACGCCATCACCAACATGGGCTCCGCGCTGCTCGCCATCGAGCTCGGCCTCATGGGGCCCCGACTACTTCATCTCCACCGCCTGTGCCGCGGCCAACTACTGCTTCTACGCCGCCGCGAATCACATCCGCAGGTGCGTGCAGTAGTAACCTGTAACTTTTAACCAGATTATGCCGCGGTTACTCTGGTAACTGGCCTCATGGGGCGGACCTACTCCATCTCCACTGCCTGCACGACGGCAAATTACTGCGTCTACGCCGCTGCGAACCACATCCGCAGGTAGCTCGGTAATTACTGTTGTAGTGGTTGATGGTTGCTGTGCCGCACATGGGGTTTCAGGGTTTTAGGCGCGCAACTTTAAGCGCCGCGCCTTCAATGCACCCCCTCACCCGTCCACACTCATTTCCTCCTCTTGGCAAGGACGAGGCGGACTTTACAGTGGCGCGGTGCACGGCACGGAGGTTGCCATCATCCCAATCGGGCTGGGCGGGCTGTTCAGTCGGCTAACAAATTCCTTTACGTGCTTCCTACTGCCGCCCTCTCTCTTTCACCCTTATCCTCAGGGGGGAAGCGGACATAACTGTGGCGGGCAGCACGTAGGCAGCCATCATTCCCATCGGGCTGGACTGGTTCTTGGGTCAACTAACATATCGCCCCTTCCCCCTCTCCAACCATCCCCCTTCCCCCCCATTCCTCTCCGCAGGGGCGAGGCGGACATTATCGTGGCGGGCGGAACTGAAGCGGCCATCATCCCCATCGGGCTGGGCGGCTTCGTGGCGTGCCGCGCGCTCTCCCAGCGCAACGACTCCCCGCAGACGGCGTCGCGGCCGTGGGACAAGCAGCGCGAGGGCTTCGTCATGGGCGAGGGCTCGGGCGTGCTGGTGGGTGTAATGGGTTTGGTGCATGCTACGTGTGCTGGTGGGTGTAATGGGTTTGGTGCATGCTACGTGTGCTGGTGGGTTTATGGGTGTACAAGCAGCGCAAGGGCTTCGTTATGGGCGAGGGCTCCGGTGTGCTGGTGGGTGCTGTGTGATTGGTTGGTGTGGCGTGGGCAGGGAAGCTTCTGCAGAGAGATCGGATCAGTAACATGTTTGCAGGGGGTGGTTGGGAGATTTCCAGAACACCCTGCGTGTTTGTGGGCCCTCTCCCCGCTCCTTAACTTCCTTCCCCTCCCCTTTTCTTGCAACCTCACACCCCATCTCCCACAATCTCCCTCCAATTTCCTCAATACCCGCCCACAGCTTCACCCCATCCCTGATTCCCCATTGACTTTTGAGTCGACTCAAAAGTCACCTCTGATTCCCCATTGCCACCAAATTTCCCCGCCTGCTCTTCCGCCGCGTCCCCCCCGTCCTGTTACCTCCTGTCTGACCAAGCGATGGGGAGCCTGGAGATTGCCCCGAAGCGCGGCGCACCCATCTACGCAGAGTACCTTGGGGGGGGGGGGGGGCAGTGACCCATGCCCTGTGCACCAAACACCTACCCCATTTCCCCCTCTGGTTCCCCCCTTCCCTCCCGCCCTCCCCCTTACCAGGTAATGGGGAGCCTGGAGAGCGCCCAGAAGCGTGGAGCACACATCCACGCGGAGTACCTTGAGGGGGTCAGCGAGTCAGTGAGTCAGTGAGTGAAGCATGTCCTGTGCACCTCCGTTCCTCCTCCCCTTCCCTGCCCACGCTCCTCGCCCCCCTCTTCGGCAGGTGATGGAGAGCCTGGAGTGGAGAGCGCGCAGAAGCGCGGAGCACACACCTACGCGGAGTACCTTGGGGGGGGGGGGGGAGGGGCGCAGCAAGTCAGTATTCCCTGTACCGTGCTCCACCCTCTCCTCCCCCCTCTCATCTTTTAACCCCCCCCTCACTTGCCAGGTGATGGAGAGCGCCCAGAAGCGCGGGGCACATTTCCCTCTCCCCCTTTCCCCCACCCATCATTCCCTCTCCCCTCTTTCCACCAGGTGATGGAGAGCCTGGAGAGCGCCCAGAAGCGCGGAGCACACATCTACGCGGAGTACCTGGGAGGCGCAGTGACGTGCGACGCACACCACATGACCGACCCGCGTGAGGACGGCCTTGGCGTGTCCACCTGCATCCTCAACGCTCTCGCTGATGGAGGGGTCTCCCCGGAGGAGGTACAGTCTCCGTTCCCCTTTCCTCGATGCACACCATATGTCCGACCCGCGTGAGGACTGCCTTGGCTTGTCCACGTGTATCTTCACGCGCTGGCTGACGGAGGGGTCTCCCTAGTGGAGTCAGGTCCCTTTTGTTCTGTCTTCCTCCTCACCTGTCTCCCCGTGCTTCCCTCTCCTTTGTGGCCTTGTTGCGTTAGAGGGCCCCCGAATCATGTGCACGAACCTGTCCACCTTTGAGACGTCTCAACATTTTTGAGACGTCTCAAAAGCCTTGTTGCATTAAAGGGCCGCCCTGAATCATGTGCACGAACCTGTCCACCTTTGAGACGTCTCAACATTTTTGAGACGTCTCAACATTTTTGAGATGTCTCAAAAGCCTTGTTGCATTAAAGGGCCCCCGAATCATGTGCACGAACCTGTCCACCTTTCCCCATCTCCTCCTCGCCTCTTCTTCCCCGACCTCCCTGTCCCTACCCAGGTGAACTACATCAACTGCCATGCCACGTCCACCATTGTGGGTGATGTGGCGGAGGTGAATGCGATCAAGAAGGTGTTCCAGGATACCAGCGAGATCAAGCTCAATGGCACCAAGGTTAGTAAAGCACTCTGTATACGTATAGCAAGGCATTCTATAAGGGGTATATATGAATGGCAGAGGTGAATGCGATCAAGAAGGTGTTCAAGGATACCAGCGAGATCAATGGCACCAAGGTGAGTAGTATTCTCAGTGCAGCATTATATATGGGGTATGAAGGAATGTGGCAGAGGTGAATGGGATGAAGCAGGTTTTGAAGTATACCAGCGAAATCAAGGCTAACGGCACCAAGGTCAGTGGGAGGGCGTTTAGTGGAACACTCCATAATGAGTATGAAAATAGTTGGTGTATGGATGCGATCAGTCAGTGAAGCAAACTCAAGCGAGTATGCTTTGTGGAGCCTATTAGGTGCAAACACTTGTATGAGGCACAGTTTCGGTTTGAAGGAAGGTCGATAGGCTGACCTGTGAGTGACTGTATTTCTGTCCTTCCCACGTCATCCCCGCTGTACATGTGGCAGTCCATGATTGGTCACTGTCTGGGCGCTGCCGGAGGACTGGAGGCGATTGCAGTGATCAAGGCGATTGAGACGGGATGGCTGCACCCGACCATCAACCAATTCGTGAGTCGTTCCGTGCTGCCAGTGCTGCGTGCCCTGATTTGTTTGAGATGCACCATGCATCCCAGCCCACGTCACTGTGCTGGAGGACTCGAGAGGCGATCGCAGTGATCAAGGCGATTGAGACGGGATGGCTGCACCCGACCATCAACCAATTCGTGAGTCGTTCCGTGCTGCCAGTGCTGCGTGCCCTGATTTGTTTGAGATGCACCATGCATCCCAGCCCACGTCACTGTGCTGGAGGACTCGAGAGGCGATCGCAGTGATCAAGGCGATTGAGACGGGATGGCTACACCCCACCATCAACCAGTTCGTGAGTGCCTGAGTTGATTTCGTGAGTTTTCGAGTGTCTTCATGAAGACTTGTCTTACCCAACTTTCCAAATCTTTGTGATAACAATATATGTGTATGTATGTATATATATGTAAATTTATATTTCATATATGCATGTATTTGCTCCCTTGATTGTTTTTTTCTTTGTAACAGGACCTGGAGGAGTCAGTAACCTTTGACACAGTGGCGAATGTCAAGAAGGAGCATAAAGTGCACGTTGGTGAGTACACTATACATTTGTCACTGCAAAACTCCGCCCGGATTCATCTGATCTGATCCACTTTGTATCACTACTGGAATCATGTCATTCCACTCCCTTAACCCCCACTCCTCTCCTGCCCTCTCCCTCTCTCCCCTCTATTGGCTACCTCCCACCTTCTTCCCCGCTGACTACTTGGCGTTTCAGGCATTTCCAACTCATTCGGCTTTGGAGGTCACAACTCGGTGGTCGTTTTTGCCCCCTTCGAGGCATAAGAACGCCCTTTGCCTTGCCCGGTAGCATTATTGAACGTCGATGGTACTGTAGTTGATGTGTTATTTAGACTGTCATTTAGATGTATTTTTTTCTTGTGCATTTTGATGGGAGCACAAAGCACATGTTTCCTAAGCAATCCAACAGTGTAGCGTTGAGAACTTAGTGAAGTTGCATGGATACAGTGATACAACTACAGGAGACATACGTAGCTACAGTACTCTTGGACACCAATCCTGTTTGACCATTGCCATTGCAGCTTGAATGGAGAGCAAAAAAAAGGACCTAATCTATGGCAGTCAACAGAAACAATTTCACTAGCTGTTGGGCAAGACTAGTGGATGGAGTGATGGCACGGCGGGCCAAATGGTGGTAGCAGGCTTGATCTAGTGCGTATGTGCGTGCGTGGTCAGCCTTGTGGGTGTGTCGGGAGTTGGTGTTGTGTTGGAACTTTGGGGGGAGTCAGGCGGGCAGCTTGTCTTTGGTGCACTCGGGAAGACCGTCGTCGTACGGGAACTCACGGGGGGCCTGGAAGACGGGCGGGTGGGTGGGTGGGTAATGGAGGGTAGGAAAAGTTGTCAAACAGGATTGGTGTCCAAGGGGGGTCGACATGCTAGGGACGCGGTGCGTGGTCAAGCGTCGGGAAGACCATCGTCGTACGGGAACTCATGGGGGGCCTGTAAGACGGGCGGGTGGGTGGGTGGGTGGGTGGGTGGTTGAGGGTAGGAATATTTGTTAGGGGGGTCGACATGCAAGGGACGCGGAGCGCGGTCAGGCGGGCAGCTTGGCTTTGGTGCACTCGGGAAGACCGTCGTCGTACGGGAACTCACGGGGGGCCTGTAAGACGGGCGGGTGGGGAAGTGTGAGGGGAAACGCAAAAGCCTCATTCACGAGAAGCCAGGAGGAGGTGGAAAGGGCAGGGATTTATAGCAAGACGGAAGCGAAGAAAAATAAGAAGAGCAACAAGAAGATTGCAATATAGGCACAAAAATTGGAGTGGGAAGGTCGGGACCACATACCCAGGGGATTCGCGAGGGCTTGTCGTTGACCACTGCAGCAAGACCCACCAGGGCAAACACTGAGAGTCCTGCTGCTAGCCACTGCAGTGCCGTGGTCTGTGGTGGTTGGTATGAGGAGAGAGGAGAGGAGAAGGGAGAGCGGAAGGGAGAAAGATTGAGGCAATGGTTCCAAACGGAGGGCAAAGCCAGGGGACTCGAGAGGGCTTGTCGTTGACAACTGCAGCAAGACCCACGAGGGCAAGCACTGACAGCCCTGCTGCTAGCCACTGCAGCGCCGTGGTCTGATGGAGATGAGGACGAGGAGAGGTGAGAGGAGAGGGGAGAGAGGAGAGGAAAGGGGAGGGGGGAGAGGGCGGAAGTATTGGGGATTGATGGAAATGGGACGACAGATGACAGGCAAGAGGGGCGCACAGATGGCAGGGAAGATGGACAGACGGCAGGGGCGACTCACAGACGGCAGGGGCGACTCACAGACGGCAGGGGCGACTCACAGACGGCAGGGGCGACTCACAGACGGCAGGGGCGACTCACAGACGTCAGGGGCGACTCACAGACGTCAGGGGCGACTCACAGACGGCAGGGGCGATTCACAGACAGCAGGGACGGCGGGATGGCGTCTGTAGCAGGCTTGGGGTTGTGCATGCTGTCTTTCGAGATGGCTCAAAATATGGGGTTGTACGCGCCTTGAAAGACGGGGTTGGGGAAGGGGAGACTCACAGACGGCAGGTTCAGTAGGATGGTGTCTGTAGCCGTCTCAGGGTTGGGCATGCCGTCTTTTGAGACGGATCAAAAGATGGGGTTGGGGAAGGGAAGACGGACAGACGGCAGGGCAGACTCACAGACGGCAGGGGAGACTCACAGACGGCAGGGGAGACTCACAGACGGCAGGGGCGACTCACAGACGGCAGGTTCGGCAGGATGGTGTCTGTAGCCGTCTCAGGGTTGGGCGTGCCGTCGTACCACGTCAGCTCATCGCTCTCTGGTAGCTGCAAGGAGAGAGGGCGGAGAGGCAAGGAGCGGGAGATGCAACAGAGGAGGTGGGCAGAAAGGGATGGAAGGGAGTGTGCTGAAAAAGAGGGGGTATCAAGGGTCGAGGTTGGGCGTGGCGTCGTACCACGTCAGCTCATCGCTCTCTGGTAGCTGCAAGGAGAGAGGGCGGAGAGGCAAGGAGCGGGAGATGCAACAGAGGAGGTACCACGTCAGCTCATCGCTCTCTGGTAGCTGCTCTGCGGACGGAGAGGCAGGGACGATGAGCATGTGCTGTGAGAAGGCTTTTGAGGCGCCTCAAAAGTCTCTGGTAGCTGCTCTGCGGACGGAGAGGCAGGGACAGCGCGTGTTTTTTGAGAATTCTCAAAAAACACGAGCATGTGCTGTGAGAAGGCTCGGGGGACCGTGAGCGCTCGGGGTTGGAGAGGCAGGGGGGGGGGAGAGGCAGGAAGGAGAGAGGTAGGGCGGGCGCGACGATGACGGGAAAGAGGCGGGCGGGAATGAACCACGGGAATGAAGAGAGTGGGGATTCGCTGAACAAGATACCACCGGGAGAAAAGTTGTTAGTGAGGGTGAGGAAAATGTTGGAAGAGCGAGGGAGGAGGAGAATGAAACGGTTTTGGAAGTCCTGTCTTGCGTGCGACACCGCAATACGGCGACACGCGACGCGTGATGATCCAGGGGACCAAGCGTCAAGAAACGCGAGTGCAAGATCCGGATAATTGAAGACTTACCACGTGAGGTGAGGTGAGGGTGTTTTTGAGACGTCTCAAAAACACCCTCACCTCACAAGAAACGCGAGTGCAAGATCCGAATAATTGAAGACTTTTTCAGGGAACAATGACGGGTATAGAGACACGGAAGGAACAATGACGGGTATAGAGACACGGAAGGAACAATGACGGGTATAGAGACACGGAAGGAACAATGACGGGTATAGAGACACGGAAGGAACAATGACGGGTATAGAGACACGGAAAGAATGATTCGCGGGTTATCGGCGATCGGTCTTCGGGAATCAATCATCAGTCATCGCTCATCGGCCATCGGACATCGGGGATCGTCTAGACTTCCGTCCGCCATAGAATGCAACGGTTGTTGCGGCGACAGAGGTGGCTTTAGAGTCGACTGAAAAGTCGCGCCATGAACGTTAATTCAAGGAGACGGGGTTTACAGACGCGCGAGTCTGGGCGAGTCTGGGCGAGTCTGGGCGAGTTTGGGAGATAAGCAGAAGAACGTGCCTCGGAAGCGGGTGGACGTCCGAAGCCGAGTCGCGCTCCCGCGCCTCCTCGAAGCGAGAGAGCCGATGCTTGAGGGCCGACGAGGCGGCGACTGAAGGCTGTCGCGAGAGAGCGCATTGGGGAAGCCATTGTTGCTGTGACGAACTGCTACGACTAGCTCCTGGAAGTTGCGGTCGTGAGCAGAAAAAAATTCAAACCTATATTAATGTTAATTTACTCAGACATGTCTGGATGGTGTAGTCGGTTATCACGCCAGTCTCACACACTGGAGGTCTCCGGTTCGATTCCGGGTTCAGACAGACGCCTTGTTTTGTTTTCAGATGAGATTACCTTTCATGTCCACCACTCCCACTCTCGCAGTCATCAACTCTAGGCCAATCATTGCATTCTTCCACATCATTCCTCCAACCGCTGGCCGTCTGCTTGCCGTCAATTGGCTCTTCGCCTTCTGGCTCAGTGCGACCAGATTCCAAGTGACTCGCGATTTGCGATCCGTGCTTGTTCAATTTCGAACGGTTACCGTACTGCATCGGAGGATAAGGTGACTCAAGCTCAGAGTACCGTGTGAGACCTTCTGAAGTTAGGAGTTCGGCAGCACCCGTCCACCTACAAATCCCGACTCCGCCATGCACCATGGCTTCCAAACAGGGTCTCTTCCTGTAGAAGCTCACGTGGAAGTTCTGTGTTTTTCTAAGAGAGCGAGGATTGTTCTGAAGCGGAGCTCTCGTGGGGGCAATTTTTGATGTTCCTAGGAGTGACAGTGCCCTGATGCGTCTGTCCTTGTAAAGTTTATTATCCTGGGACTGAGGACCAGTCGCAGTGTCTGAATTTGCGGTTCGCCGTTGGTGGGGTAAAGACTGTCGGCGATGGCTCGTCTGGTTACCAGCGTTTCGCGAACGAGACGGAGCTCGTCGTACTTGTCGCTCGCGGTGTTTCTTCTCGTGCTACTCCTGCTCTTCGCGACCGTCGCTCGCTCCGCTAAGATCACATTCGTCAGGAAGAACGGCAAGACGTACGTGATTAAAACGGGCGGCGACGATTGGGACGACGATGACGATGATCTGGAGGAAACGGACGGCGAGGATGATCCGAAGCGGGAGGGAGCAGATTCGGCAGAAGCAGGAACCCCAGCAGGATCTAAGAAAGCGAAGAAGGATAGCGACGAGCCTAAGCGAGGCGAGGCGATTAAAGCCGTCAAATCGCCCGAATCGGCAGCGGCAGCGGCAGCGGCGGAAGCGGCGGCGGCGGCGGCGCTAGCGGCAATGGCGGACGATCCGCTGGTGGAGAAGTATAAACAGGAGCCGTTGGATCCGGGATCGTGGCGGACAGCTGTCGAGATGCCATTGGCGGACGTGCGCCGGCGCGCGGAGCAGGGGGACGCGGAGGCGCTGTGGGCGCTGGGGGTGAAGCGGCTGGTGGGCGCGGGGGGGCGAGGGGGAGTGGCGCGGGATATTCCCAAGGCGCTGCTGCTGCTGGAGCGCTCCGCGGAAAAGGGATTCCCCCACGCGCACTCCGCGCTGGGGTTCCTCCACGCGAGCGGATACGGAGTTCCGCTGAACCAGGTGAAGGGGGGGCGGAGGGGTGGTTGTGGGGGGAAGGCGGAGGGGTGGTTGTGGGTGGAAGGCGGAGGGGGTGTGGGGAGGAGCAGGACTTCCCCTACGCGCACTCCGCGCTGGAATTTCTCCACGCTAGCGGATGTGTGGAGTTCCGCTGAACCAGGTGAAGGGGTGTGGGGGGGGAAAGGGGAATGGGGGGTTGGCACGGAACAGGGCTCCCCCCATGCGCACTCCGCGCTGGGGTTCCTTATGCCAGTGAATACGGCGTTTCGCTGAACCAGGTGAAGGGGGGTTGGTGAAGAGGGGATGGGGATCGGATAGGCAAGAGGGGGAAGGGGTCCAAAATGTCCCATGATTTCTCAGCACCTCCAATCCCTCCGCATCCCTTCCTACCCCTCGCTACCCCTCCCCATCCCCCCCAATCCCTCCCCGTCTCCCCATCTCCGCCAATCAGGTGAAAGCGTTTCTGCACCACACGTTTGCCGCGAATGGAGGCAGCGTGCACTCCAAGATGGCCCTCGCCTTCTCACACCTGCGCCAGCAGGAGTTTGAGCGTGGAAGGGGATGGCATGTAGTAGGGGGGGCGAGATGTCTCATGTGGGGTAACTCAGCACCCCTTTTTTACCCTTTGCAACCCCTCCCTACCCCTCCCAAACCCTCCTCTTTCAGGTGAAAGCGTTTCTCCACCACACGTTTGCTGCCAATGGCGGCAGCGTGCATTCCAAGATGGCCCTCGCCTTCTCGCACCTCCGCCAGCAGGAGTTCGAGCGCGCCGCGGCGCTTTACGCTGACGTGGCAGCCAAGTCAATGGCGGTCAACAGCCTCCCGGGGCAGGCGCCGCTGATAGAGACGGTGCATCTGAGCGCGGGAGGGGAGGAGAGTTTGGAGGCGACGAGAGGGCACAGGGGAGAGGCGGATGAAACCATTCAGGTGAGTGCACGGCAGTGACGTTTGAGTCGTTGTGGGGGTTGTGGGGGCCGTGGGGGCCGTGGGGGTTGGTAGGGTGTGTTAGGGTGGGCAGGCGCCGCTGATAGAGACAGTGCATCTGAGCGCTGGTGGGGAGGAGAGCCTGGAGGCGACGAGAGGGCACAGGGCAGAGGGCACAGGGCAGAGGGCACAGGGGAGAGGGCAGAGGGCAGAGGGCACAGGGCAGAGGCGGATGAAGCCATTCAGGTGAGTGGAATCGACGGTTTTGAGTGGTTGTGATTCGTGAAGGATTCTAGGGTGTTGTGTTGGTGTCGTCAAGGTACAGGCGTCATGCAGAGCAGTGGAGGCCATTCGCATGCTGGGCATGCTGGGCACGCTTGGCACGCTTGGCATGCTTGGCACACTTGGCATGGTGGGGTGCGCGGCGCGGGGCATGGGGCGGGATTCCATTCCAACTCCCCCTTTTACCCCCCCCCCCCCCCCCCCATACCTCCTTCCGCCTCCCCACCCCAGTTCATCGAGTTGCAGGCATCACGGGGAGCGGTGGAGGCCATTCGCACGCTGGGCACGCTCTACTACTGGGGGGCGCGGGGCATGCCGCGGGACCACGTGAGGGCGTTTGGGCTGATGAAGAAAGCCGCTGAGATGGACGACCTGCATGTGAGTGGGGGACACGACAGGGAGGAGAGCTGCAGGGAGGAGAGAGGAGAGAGGAGAGAGGAGAGAGGAGAGAGGAGAGAGGAGAGAGGAGAGAGGAGAGAGGAGAGAGGAGAGAGGAGAGAGGAGAGAGGGGATAAATCAGCAAGGCGTTACATAGCATCATACCATCATGATGGCATCATACCATCATGGCATCATACCATCATGGCATCATGGCGTCATGGCATCATACCATCATGGCATCATGGCATCATACCATCATACCATCATGGCATCATACCATCATGGCATCATGGCATCATGGCATCATGCCATCATACCATAATACCATAATTCATGTGACATTCATGGCATCACATCATGTGTGCCAATATCTATTTCATCCTGTTCATGGTTTTTTTTTTTTTTTTTTTTTTTTTTTGAATTCTAAAAAATGCCCTGCAACATTCATGGCAACCGTTAAGCCATCATGTATGCCGTTTCCGTGAGAGCCCACAGACAGGATGCCAAAATCTATTTCGTTGCAGGGGATTTTTGAGGCGCCTCAAAAAGAGAATTTTCAAAAACACCCTGCAAGCAACATCATGTATGCCGTTTCCGTGAGAGCCCACGGACAGGATGCCGATATCTATTTCGTCCTGTCCGTGGGCTCTCTCACTCACCCTCTGCCTAACCCCCTCTCCCTCCCCTCTGTTCACCCCTCTCACTCACTACCCCCACAGGCCATGCTGACGCTGGGTGAGATGCTCACACACGGAGTGGGGGTGGAGGCAACCCCCGTGGAGGCAATGGCGTGGTTCCACAAGGCCTATGCACGCGGGTCCCTCTCCTCTTGTGACCTTACGTCATTTAAAACTCCCTTTACACAATCGCCCTCCGCAACAGGCCATGTTGACTCTTGGCGAGATGCTCACACACGGTGTGGGCTGCAAGGCCAACCCCGTGGAGGCAATGGTGTGGTTCAACAAGGCGTATGCACGCGGGCTCGTGAGCGCGCTCAACGGAGTGGGATACCTGCACGCTAAAGGGCTGGGGGTGCCTCAGGACTACCACAAGGTGGGTGTGTGTGATGCAGTGACTATCACCACGGATGCGGTGGGATGCGGTGGGATGGGTTCATGAGCGCACTGAACGGAGTGGGATGTCTGCACGCCAAGAGGCTGGGGTGTGCCTCAGGACTACCACAAGGTAAGCCTTGAGTCGAATTTGAGATTTCTCTGAAGGGGTACGTCTGAGTTGGTGCCATGGGCTTGTGAGCGCGCTTATTCCTCTCCTTACCGCCACTCCCCCTTTCCTCCTCTTTGTTTGCTCTTTTCTTACCCCTCTATCTCACTTCTTTTTGGATGGTCCTCCTCTTCTCTTCCCAGGCGGTGCAAAACTTTCTCACGGCTGCCCGGAAGACCCGGGATGTGGACGCGTTGTACAATCTGGGAATGAGCCACCTTAGAGGGCAGGGCGTGAGACGCAACCCCAGCAAGGCGCTGCGGTTCCTGCAGCAGGCGGTGGAGGGGCAGCACGTGGGCGCCATGTACCAGATGGGCAAGATGCATCTGACAGGGACTGGGGTCCCGAAGAATGTTGTCATGGTGAGTTGGGGGGGCGGTATGTTGGGATTGTAACGGGGTGTGACTAAAGACAGGAATTTCTTGCACTAATTGCAGTGCTGCTGTAGTTCCTGCAGCAGGCGGTGGAGGGGAGGGGCAGCACGTGGGCGCCATGTATCAGATGGGCAAGATGCATCTGACAGGGACAACTTTTGAGACGTCTCAAAAGTCAAAATGCATCTGACAGGGACAGGCGTCCCCAAGAACGTGGTTATGGTGAGATGGGGGAAGGGTGCAACGCGACAGTAACGGTGCAGTTCCTGCAGCAGGCGGTGGAGGGGGGGGGGGGGAGCACGTGGGCGCCGTTTATCGGACGGGCAAGATGCACCTCACGGGGACGGGAGTACCCAAGAATGTGGTCATGGTGAGATGGGGGAAAGGGTGCGGTGTGTCCGTGTCGTTATAACGAATGTGACTGTAACGGTGCAGTTACTGCAGCAGGCGGTGGAGGGGAGGGGCAGCACGTGGGCGCCATGTACCAGATGGGCAACATGCACCTCACAGGGACGGGAGTACCCAAGAACGTTGTCATGGTGAGATAAGGGAGTGGGGTTAGGCACATCAGAAGAGGGGAAGGGGGCGAGTGGGTGGCAGCACGTGGGCGCCATGTATCAGATGGGCAAGATGCACTTGACTGGGACGGGGGTTCCCAAGAATGTAGTTATGGTGAGATGGGTGCACAAATACAGGAGCGGAGCCCATGGGGGGTCATGCTGCCCATGGGGGGTCATGCTGCCCCTCGCTCTCATCGAGGCGGCGCGGCTACTCAAGGCAGTGGCGGAGCGGGGGCCATGGGGGGTCATGCTGCGGTGGGCACACGCATGCTTCATGTCATCCACCCACGGCCCCTCCCTCGGGTCCCTCTCTGTTCCCTCTGCTGTCATCCCTGTCCCCCCATTCCACTGGTCCCAACTCATGTTTATTTCTTCTGTCTTCTGCTTTTGAGACGTCTCAAAAGCCATTCCACTGGCTGTCTTCTGTTTCCTCCTGTGCTCCCTTTGTTCTCCTTTCCCTCCTTCCCCCTCCCCCCCCCTCCTTCCCCCTCCCCCCCCCTCCTTCCCCCTCCCCCCCCCTCCTTCCCAGGCCGCTCGCCTTCTAAAGGCGGTGGCGGAGCGGGGGCCATGGGGGGTCATGCTGCGGTGGGCACACGCATGCTTCATGTCATCCACCCAAGGCCCCTCCCTCTGGTCCCTCTCCCGCTCCGCCTCCTCCTCCTCTCCCTTCTCCCTCTCCTTCTCCTTCTCGCTCTCCTCCCCGCTCTCCCCCCCCTCCCTCCGCTCCTCCTCCTCCTCTTCCTCCCCGTCCGCCTGGCCTGCGTCCTGTGATGTGGGCACATCGCTGATGCTCTACTCGAGAGCTGCGGAGTTGGGGTATGAAGTGGCACAGGGGAATGCCGCCTGGCTGCTGGATAAGGTAGGCGTTTTATCCTCACCTCACCACACTCTCGGGGGAATGCAGTTGTCTCTACACGTTCCCCCGCGGCCTGGCCCGCTTCTTGTGATGTGGGTGGGGACGTCGTCGATGCTCTCTACTCGAGAGCTGCGGAGTTGGGGTATGAAGTGGCACAGGGGAATGCCGCCTGGCTGCTGGATAAGGTGAGAATCCTTTCCCTTCTCCCTCACCTATCCTTGTCCTTCTCATCTCCCACTTCACCTGGCTGGCTGTGTACGATGTGGGAACGTCACTGATGCTCTACTTGAGAGCAGCGGAGTTGGGGAATGAAGTGGCTCAGGGGACCGCGGTCTTGCTACTGGATAAGGCAGGTGTTTTCTCCTCTCCCCACCACACTCTCATTGTTCAGTTGTCACGTGATTGAAGAAGAGTTTTGAGACGTCTCAAAACTCTTCTTCAATCTCGTCTGGCTACTGGATAAGGCGGGTGTTTTCTCCTCTCCCCACCACACTCTCATTGTTCAGTTGTCACGTGATTGAAGAAGAGTTTTGAGACGTCTCAAAACTCTTCTTCAATCTCGTCTGGCTACTGGATAAGGCGGGTGTTTTCTCCTCTCCCCACCACACTCTCGAGGTGACTTTTGAGTCGACTCAAAAGTCACCTCAGGGGACCGCGGCCTGGCTACTGGATAAGGCGGGTGTTTTCTCCTCTCCCCACCACACTCTCATTGTTCAGTTGTCTAAGTGCGTTCATCACTTTGCTTCGTGTGATGTGGCCACGTCGTGGATGTTCTATTCTAGAGTTGCCGAGTTGGGGTGTGAAGTGGCGCAGGGGAATGCTCGTTGGCTTCTGGATAAGATAAGGTGAGACCCCCTCCCCCTTTTCCCCCTTGCTAATCCTAAGTCCTCTCTCAGTCCTCTCCCTCGTCCTCTCCCCCTACCGTCTAGCCTGCCTGCATCGTGTGATGTGGCCACGTCGTGGATGTTCTATTCTAGAGCTGCCGAGTTGGGGTGTGAAGTGGCGCAGGGGAATGCCGCCTGGCTTCTGGATAAGATAAGGTGAGACTCCCCCCCCCCATGTTCCCGTCCCTGGTGGGTTGGGTTCCCCAGTGATGGATGGATCCCACCAGAGGGAACCCACATCTACATCTTTTGAGGCGCCTCAAAAAACACATCTAAAGCCGTCCCACCAGTGAGACTCCAATGCACCATCTGCTGTAAACGCACTGTCCCCTTGCACCATCCGAACTGTCCCCTTGCACCATTCGTTTCTTTCTGCACCATCAATGCGTGTGCAGGTGGTTGGTGACTCGGTGCTGGACAATGCGTGTGTGGGCGCTCCTTAAGCCTCTTGCTGACCGCCCAATTGCACCAATCCGAACCCTTCTGCACCATGGTTCATTGCGTGCAGGTGGTGGGTGACTCGGTGCTGGACAATGCGTGTGTGGGCGCTCCTCGCAGCACCGCCACCAGCACTGCCACTTCATCTTCCTCTGCTTCCTCTGCTTCACCTGAAGCGGTTCAGAAGGACAGGGAAGCTACAGATGGGGTTGCAAGCGATGAGAATAACGCAGTGGGTGGAGAGGGGTCAGCAAGTGGTGGAGAGGGGTCAAGAGGTGCAGAGGCCGGTGCTACAGGTGGGGAACCGTCTCAAGGGGATGAATTAGAAGGCGGTGGGGTAGTGCAAGGGGAGGGAGGCAGAGCGGAGGAGCAGCAGGAGCAGAATGAACAGAAGGGACAGAAGGAACAGCAGGAGCGGAGTAAGGATAGTGTCACTAGCGGCAGGAGGGGTTGGAGGCGGTGCAGTGAGGCGGAGAGGCATGAGAGGTCGCACCGACTGTGGCAGCTGGCAGCAGAGCAGGGCAGCGTGCAGGCAGCACTGCTGCTGGGTGATGCCTTCTTCTACGGTCGAGTGAGTCCTTACTTATATGCTTGCTTGTTCACACATTTTGCTCGAGCATAGAGGGAGCTGCTTCAGCTGGCAGAAGATCAGGGCAGCGTGCAGGCAGCGCTGCTGCTGGGGGATGCTTTCTTCTATGGCCGGGTGAGTCTCTGCTAGGTATGCTTGCTTTCTCACACTTGCACCTGTGGCAGCTGGCAGCAGAGCAGGGCAGCGTGCAGGCAGGCAGCGCTGCTGCTGGGTGATGCCTTTTTCTACGGCCGGGTGAGTGAGATTGCTGGCTTGAGTTGAGAAGAGGGATTGTTTGCTCACATTTGTTGCTCGCTCACAGAGAGCTGCCTCAGCAGCAGAAGATCAGGGCAGCGTGTAGGCAGCATTGCTGCTGGGTGATGCTTTCTTCTATGGCCGGGTGAGTGAGATTGCTGGCTTGAGTTGAGAAGAAGGATTGTTTGCTCACATTTGTTGCTCAATCACAAAGAGCTGCCTCAGCAGCAGAAGATCAGGGCAGCGTATAGGCAGCATTGCTGCTGGGTGATGCTTTCTTCTATGGCCGGGTGAGTGAGATTGCTGGCTTGAGTTGAGAAGAAGGATTGTTTGCTCACATTTGTTGCTCAATCACAAAGAGCTGCCTCAGCAGCAGAAGATCAGGGCAGCGTATAGGCAGCATTGCTGCTGGGTGATGCTTTCTTCTATGGCCGGGTGAGTGAGATTGCTGGCTTGAGTTGAGAAGAAGGATTGTTTGCTCACATTTGTTGCTCAATCACAAAGAGCTGCCTCAGCAGCAGAAGAGCAGGGCAGCGTGTAGGCAGCATTGCTGCTGGGTGATGCTTTCTTCTATGGCCGGGTCAGTTGACGCGAAAGGATTCCTTGCTTGCTCAGTCACACTTGTCTGACTGGCTTTTGCATCGACTTGAACTTTGAGTCAACTCCAAAGTTGTTCAATCATCGTCACCCCACCCGCCCATCCCACAGGGCCAGCCGCGGGACCTGCAGCGAGCAGCAGAGGCGTACTGGAGGGCGAGGGAGAAGGGCAGTGCACACGCCATGTTCAACCTGGGGTTCATGCACGAGCATGGCATGGGACTACCCAGAGACCTGCATTTGGCCAAACGATTCTATGACCAGGTATGTTTGTGGGTGGGAGCATGGTGGAATTGGCAGCATGGTGGGGCGCATAAGGGGCAGCATGGTGGGGCGCATAAGGGGAAGTGCCCACGCCGTGTTCAACCTGGGCTTCATGCACGAGCACGGCATGGATTTACCCAGAGACCTGCATCTGGCCAAACGGCTCTATGACCAGGTATGGGGCAGTGCCATGGTGCATGGTGCATGGTGCCATGGTGCATGGTGCATGGTGCATGGTGCATGGTGCATGGTGCATGGTGCCTGGTGCCTGGTGTGGCTGGGAGCAAGGAAAAAAGGCGTTCATGCACGAGCATGGCATGGGGCTGCCCAGAGACCTGCATTTGGCTAAGCAGCTCTACGACCAGGTACGGTTGGGGTGGAAGTATAAGGGGAAGTGCACGCGCCATGTTCAACCTGGGGTTTATGCACGAGCACAGCACGGGCTTACCCAGGTAAAACGAGCACATCACGGGCTTACCCAGGTGAAACGAGCACGGCACGGGCTAAACGAGAATCGTTTGTATCTCCATCTAGCGAAACGATTCTATGACCAGGTGGGTAGGTGTGTGTAAATGTGCATATGGGAGTACAAGTGGCAGTGCACACGCCATGTTCAACCTGGGGTTTATGCACGAGCACAGCACGGGCTTACCCAGGTGAAACGAGCACGGCACGGGCTAAACGAGAATCGTTTGTATCTCCATCTAGCGAAACGATTCTATGACCAGGTAGGTAGGTGTGTGTAAATGTGCATATGGGAGTACAAGTGGCAGTGCACACGCCATGTTCAACCTGGGATTCATGCACACGCCATGTTCAACCTGGGATTCATGCACGAGCATGGCATGAGGCTGCCCAGCTGGAGTCCAACTCCTTCCAAATCAAATCTTTCCCCTCCCCCGCTCCTTTCCTTCTGCATCCCTCACCCCACCCCAGGTTCTTGATGCCTTCCCCCGGGCAGTGGTGCCGGTGAGAATCGCCCTCTTCGGCCTCTGGATGCGCATGCAGTACGGCCACTACCCTCTTGTGGTGAGTCTGCTTCAGAGTGTGGTGAGCTTAGCCACGTGACGTGATACAAGTTGAGCTTTGACACGCCTCAAGATCGCCCTCTTCGGCCTGTGGCTGCACATGCAGTACGGCCACTACCCTCTTGTGGTGAGTCTGCATTACAAATAGGTGCATGCAGTATGGCTCTGTTGGCCGTGTTGGCCTCTGGCTGGTGTATGCAATAGGTGTATGCACGGCCCTGTTGGCCTCTGGCTGCGCATGCAGTATGGGCACTACCCTCTTGTGGTGAGTCTGCTTTAGAAATAGGTGGGCTGTAAGTTAGCGCCGTTCGGCTTGTGACCACGACCCTCTTTGGCCTGTAGCTGCGCATGCAGTATGGGCACTACCCTCTTGTGGTGAGTCTCTTTAGCCTTCTATGGACTTGAAATAGGTGGGCTTGATGAAGTAAGCCCTATCTCTGGTGCAATAAAGGCTCGTGGGATCTAACCTTTGGGACTCTGTCTGAGAACGCAGTTTGAGCTCTACTCTCTTGTGAAGGGACTGCTTTGAGTGTGCTTTATGCTTTACTACCCTTGCTCCACTCACCCATCTGCCCCTTTCCCACTCCCCTCTCTCCCCACCCTTCCCCTCTTCAACCCCTCCAGTCCAAGGCATTGGATGTGTTGCCTGAGATCGGCCCGGCCACGGCGGGGGCATTGAAGGCGGCCCTGAGGGACAACACTAATCCATACATTGCCCCTCCCCGCCTCCCCTTTCCCCTTCATCCCCCCTCCTCTCAGTCCAAGGCATTGGATGTGTTGCCTGAGATCGGCCCAGCCACGGCGGGGGCATTGAAGGCGGCCCTGAGGGACGACACCAACGCCTACATCGCTTCGCTCCTCGCTCTCCTGCTTGCCGTTCTCTTCCTGCGCTCCCAGCGCCGCCAGCAACGAGTGGTGCAGGCGTGATTGGTGGGGGTTGGAGTGTGATAACGGCATTCGCAGCATTGCTGGTATGATATGGGACGAGCACGTCTACTGCAACTCGCTGAGTTTTCATGCTTGCTATCCAATTCCATCCGTGCCCGTTGTGGCGGCAACAAGAAGCAAAGAGCCTATGGATGTGATGGCGGTTGTAAGGAAGCGGCTAGTGATACCCTATACAGTCTAGCACAGTACTGTGCTGTGATTGGTCGAATTTTGGTGTCTGTATGGTTATGTGGAGAATGGTTCTGTAGTTACAGCCAGCATTTTGTAACTTTATTTTTGTATAGCCCAACTCTAGTGCCTTCAAATGTGGTGTACTTGGGTCACTTGTCGAAATACCATGGTCGTGTCATTGACATTCGTGTGAAAAAACGAGGAAGTGCTTCGCGAGATATCTCAAGCTGATCGCACATCGTTTCGCCAGTACGTCTTTGAGTGTTCCGAATTCGCCAAAAAGTGGCTGGAGCGTCTAACTTCAAGAGCGCTGCGGCTCCTTGTGGGTTGGGGGGTTGCCGCGGAGCAACAAGAACTGAACGGAATCCCTCCTGCCAATTCCAAAATCCGGATCCGTGTAACGACAGCATATTGATGCTCCTGCAGAGCTGAATCTCCAACCCCTCCTGGTCGTTCTCAATCCCTCTCAATCCTTCTTTATATTTCAGATATCCTCCATACCCAACACCTTCCTCCCCTTATCCTCCCCTTATCCTCGCCTGACCCCCCCTCCATTACCTCTTGCTCATTCTCGTAACTGGCCTTCGTTCAGAGGCGTGGCTGGAAGGTACGAAGCTGGTTGACGTGACTGCAAACTGAACCAGGAAATCTCCTAGACACAGACTTCGTACGTAGCGCTTACGGGGCCGGAAAGGATTGCTTCTCGGTCGCCAGTGGTTTCGCGATGATAGCACAACCTGGCGTTTTCGAGCCAAATTGCAGGATGATGGGACGGTTGCTCTCAAGTAGAGCGAGAGTGACGGAAGTTACGCATCAATGCTTTTGGAACATTTTCTGCTTCACGAATGGGATGCCGTGACGGGACGCTGTGATGCGCGGAAGTCCGCCATGGCGTCCCGTCAAACAGAATTTCGCGACCCAATTTCCCAGGATGAGGTGACGGACGCCGTGCCGTTCCGTTTGTCCTCTGAATCCCTGCTCCTGTCACGGAGCCGCGCTATGGGAACACTCGAAAGGGAAAGCCTGCTGGTGCGAAGTAGGTCTCTCAAGAGCTATAAATTGACGGAATGCGTCGTTCTTCAGTTCAGGTCTGTTCAGCTTGCATTCGAGCCAAAGATCAACCTGCGTAAGCCGTTCTAGCTTAAAGAACAGCCATGGCTTCCGCTGCGTCAACCAACCTGCGTTTGCGACTCGTCTGGTTGTTTCCAACGGTCGTTTTCGCGCTATTTTTCTTCGGTGAGTCTGATTCAGCTCAGCTTTAACTACCACATGCGTCCTGTCGGAACAATGTCAAGCTTGAAATCCGTTTGGTTTCCGGCGCTTAATCTCACGTGCTTCTAGCCTTTGCAATCTGTTTCATTTGCATAATAGTATACATAGGCCTCAAAGTATACACTCTTTTCTCCACTCCGGCGTCTCTACCAGGCACATCTCTGGCCGTGGCATCTCATGACAAGCTGGCAGGGACAGCTGGCACGACAAGTGAAGCCGCAGTGTCTGAAGCTGCAAGCGACGCCATGGAAACCAAGTCGCTCGTTTTCAGACATCGCAGCCTGCTCAGCTCCTCCTCTCCACAGCCCTTGCCTGTTGATTCTCCTACCTCTCTTCAGACTGCCACCAACCTGCTCAGCTCCACCACACAACTATCCTTGCCCTTACCCGTTGAGTCTCAGCTGCTCAGCACCTCCACACCACAGCCCTTGCCCGTTGACCCTCTCGCCTCTCGTCTCACTGCCACCAGCTTTGGAGGAAATGATGGTGGGCACGGTGGGAATGGCGGTGACCATGGGGGCGTTGGTGGCATCTAGTCGCTTGTGGCCTCGTGGCTTCACATGGGGGGTGAAGATGGGGGCAGTGGCGGTGGTGGTGGTGGTGACGGCGGCAATGGCAACGGCAATGGCTGCTGCTGCTGCTGCTGCTGTGGCAACGGCAACGGTTGTGGTAACGGCAATGGCAACGGCAACGATAACAACAGCATCAACGGCAATGAAAATGGCAACGGCAACGGAAATGGCAATGGCAATGGCTGCTGCTGCTGCTGCTGCTGTGGCAACGGCAACGGGAACGGGAACGATTGTGGTAACGGCAATGGCAACGGTAAGAATAACAACAGCGTCAATGGCAACGGGAATGGCAACGGCAACGGGAATGGCAACGGCAACGGAAATGGTAACGGCAATGGCAATGGCTGCTGCTGCTGCGGCAACGGCAACGGCAACGGGAACAATAACAACAGCGTCAACGGCAACGGGAATGGCAACGGCAACGGGAATGGCAACGGCAACGGAAATGGTAACGGCAATGGCAATGGCTGCTGCTGCTGCTGCTGTGGCAACGGCAACGGCAACGGGAACGGTTGTGGTGACAGCAATGGCAACGGTAACGATAACAACAGCATCAGCGGGAACGGGAATGGCAACGGCAATGGGAATGGCAACGGCAACGGAAATGGCAACGGCAATGGCAATGGCCGCTCCTGCTGCTGCTGCTGCTATGGCAACGGCAACGGGAACGGGAACAGTTGTGGTAACGGCAATGGCAACGGTAACGATAACAACAGCATCAACGGCAACGGGAATGGGAACGGCAACGGAAATGGCAACGGCAATGGCAATGGCTGCTGCTGCTGCTGCTGCTGCCGTGGCAACGGCAACGGCAACGGGAACGGTTGTGGTGACAGCAATGGCAACAGTAACGATAACAACAGCATCAGGGGCAACGGGAATGGCAACGGCAATGGGAATGGGAACGGCAACGGAAATGGCAACGGCAATGGCAATGGCTGCTGCTGCTGCTGCTGCTGCTGCTACTGTGGCAACGGCAACGGCAACGGGAACGGGAACAGTTGTGGTAACGGCAATGGCAACGGTAACGATAACAACAGCATCAACGGCAACAGGAATGGGAACGGCAACGGAAATGGCAACGGCAATGGCAATGGCTGCTGCTGCTGCTGCTGCTGTGGCAACGGCAACGGCAACGGCAACGGGAATGGTTGTGGTGACAGCAATGGCAACGGTAACGATAACAACAGCATCAGCGGCAACGGGAATGGCAACGGCAATGGGAATGGGAACGGGAACGGAAATGGCAACGGCAATGGCAATGGCTGCTGCTGCTGCTGCTGCTGTGGCAACGGCAACGGCAACGGGAACGGTTGTGGTAACGGCAATGGCAACGGTAATGATCACAACAGCATCAACAGCAACGGGAATGGGAACGGCAACGGAAATGGTAACGGCAATGGCAATGGCTGCTGCTGCTGCTGCTGCTGCTGTGGCAACGGCAACGGGAACGGTTGTGGTGACAGCAATGGCAACGGTAACGGGAATGGCAACGGCAACGGGAATGGCAACAGCAACGGGAATGGCAACGGCAACGGGAATGGCAACGGCAACGGCAATGGCTGCTGCTGCTGCTGCTGCTGCTGCTGTGGCAACGGCAATGGCAACGGTTGTGGTAACGGCAATGGCAACGGTAATGATCACAACAGCATCAACAGCAACGGGAATGGGAACGGCAACGGAAATGGTAACGGCAATGGCAATGGCTGCTGCTGCTGCTGCTGCTGCTGTGGCAACGGCAACGGGAATGGCAACGGTAACGGGAATGGCAACGGTAACGGGAATGGCAACGGCAACGGGAATGGCAACGGCAACGGGAATGGCAACGGCAACGGGAATGGCAACGGCAACGGGAATGGCAACGGCAACGGGAATGGCAACGGCAACGGGAATGGCAACGGCAACGGCAATGGCTGCTGCTGCTGCTGCTGCTGCTGCTGCTGCTGCTGCTGCTGCTGCTGCTGCTGTGGCAACGGCAACGGCAACGGTTGTGGTAACGGCAATGGCAACGGTGGTGATAACAACGACGTCACCGTCACTGGGAACGGCAACGGCAACGGGTGCTGCTGCTATTGTTGCTGCGGGTGCGACAATGGAGGGGGTGGCAGCAATGGTGGTGGTGGCAGCAACGGTGGTGGTGGGTCTGGCATTCATGGCAATGGCAACGGTGGTGGAAACGGTGATGGGAATGGCAATGGCAACGGTGGTGGCGGTGGGTCTGGCATCGGCTTCATTCACAGCAAGTTCAGCGCTCACAGCAACAGCAGCAGCGCCAGCCGTGCCAGCCATGCCAGCCGTGCTAGCAGGACCAGCAATGCACGTGCCAACCGCCTCACCTGACCACAAGGAGGATACTGAACATGACAATTGAATGTCTAGGTCATGAACTAAAGCTGGCTTGTATCATCCCTGTGGCTTTGTGAAAAGTTGCTGTATTTGAAGTGTAAGAGCTTTCCTGGTTTCAGTACATGTCCTTCTGTCTGATACATATCCAAGTATTGGGAACCAAACCTTCTTTTACCCGAAGTTCAACAACCTTCCGCCTGCTGTCACACCCCAATCATGACCCAGATATCCTTTCACTCGATACATTCACATCAATATATTACAAGGATGCACAGTCCTACCCTGCCCACCACGTTGACATTAGATATCAGGCTCCACGTTATGTTAGTTGGATCGGCACACTTTATATAGTGAGTGAGTTGCAGTAGTAATACACTCCAGGAGATGGTACCGTTGAGGCTGCCTGCATGGATCAAGAGCAGGTGAGTGACCAGAGGCGCAGCGTCGTCAAACTTATGGCAAGTGATGACGAGACAAGCCGTCGTTGATTACAGCTCCTCTTGCGCCACGATCCTGGTGTCGTTGATCCTGACGCATGAATCATATCATTCATGGTGTACCCTCCCGTTCTCCATGCGGCATCTGCTGCACGGCTGCTTATCATTCATGGTGTACCCTCCTCTGATGCCGCCAGGTGACTTCTGAGTTGACTCAAAAGTCACCGAGATGAGCTGTCAGCCTGTCATTGGTTACAGCTCTTCTTGTGCAAAGATCAAGATGCTGACTCATGAATCATGGCGTACCCTCCTCAAATGCCGCCAGGTGATGAGCTGTCGGCCTGTCATTGGTTACAGCTCCTCTCGCGCCAAGATCAAGATCCTGACTCATGAGTCATGGTGTACCCTCCTCTGATGCTGCCACTCGTGTGAACACTGGATGCTCTGCAGAGGAGAGCCGTCGCAAAAAGACAAGAAGCAGCTTCAGCGAAAACAGCAGTCAGAAACAAACAAAAGACTGGAGGAAACAAACAAAAGACTGAAGGAAACACTGCGTGCAATTTCAGCCCCAGGTACCACTTGGCTCGTTTTGAGACATCTAAAAACTTGATTTCACCCACAGACACCACTTACCTAGCGATAAATTCGAGAAGAATACGAAATGCAGGCAATATCAACCACGAGTACCACTTAGCTAGAGCTTCAGGGTATGCACCACCTCCAGAGACACTCACCAAGAGAGCCTAGACACCAAAGAACCCTCAATACTTAGGTGAGTGGGTCTGAGGTGAGTTTTGAGGCACTCACCTGGGGGACAAGAAGGCCACTTGCTGCTGCTGCACTTTATGCTGAAATCACTGCCACCTCGGGTCGGGTGACCAGACGAACCTTGAGGGCACAGAGAAAGCACCTCAGACACACTCACCTAGCGCTTCAGAGGCCATGAGTCTTCTTCCTGAGTGATTTTTCTCGAGGAGAAGCAGCAGCAGTGTCATCTTGAGAGCACAAAGAAACCGCTCCCTCAGGCGCACATACCTAGAGCCTCAGCAGCTGTCATCCGACTTTTGAGGCGCCTCAAAAGTTTTTTCGAGCAGCAGCAGCAGCGGTGACGGCGGCGGCGGCGGCGGCGGCGGCAGCAGCAGCAGCAGCAGTGTCATCTTGAGAGCACAAAGAAACCGCTCCCTCAGGCGCACATACCTAGAGCCTCAGCAGCTGTCAGCCGGTCTGCGGGGTTCTTTTCGAGCAGCAGCATCAGCAGCAGCATGAGCGGCTGCTTCATCTCATCTGAAACGTCCTTCCGCCTGGCGGACAGGACCGCCACCTGCTGCTGCTGCACTGCATGCTGAAGCCCCCCTGCTGTGAGCAGCAGATGAAGAAACATCACCGAGAGAAGAAAGAGATACCTTCTGTGGAACACATACCCTGAACCTCAGCTCCTGTAATTCTCCAATTATATCTTTTCTCCAGCAGCAGCAGCAGCAGCTTCATTTCATCTGATACATCCTTCCACCAGGGCGACAGGAACGCCACCTGCTGCTGCTGCACTGCCCGCCACCCCCATCCCCACCCCTCCCTTGCTGGTGCCCAGAAGGAGAAAGATCACTTAGGGGAACAGAGTAACCACCGGGGCACACATACCTGAGTGAGCCTCGGCGGCGGTGAGTCGGTCTGAAGGGTTCTTCTCGAGCAGCATCAGCAGCAGCTGCTTCATCTGCTGCAGGGTGTTTTTGAGAATTCTCAAATACAGTCTGGGGGCTTCTTTTCAAGCAGCAGCATCAGCAGCAGCTGCTTCATTTCTTCAGAAGCCTCCTTCCACCTGGGCGACAGGAACGCCACCTGCTGCTGCGCTGCTCACTGAATCACCTCCCCAGTGGACGCCCAAAAGATCCTAGAGGGCACAGAGAAACCACCTCAGACGCAACGATGCACATACCTAGAGCCTCGGCGGCTGTGAGCCGGTCGGAAGGATTCTTCTCGAGCAGCATCAGCAGCAGCTGCTTCATTTCATCGGAAACCTCCTTCCACCGGGGCGACAGGAACGCCACCTGCTGCTGCTGCACTGCCCGCCGAATCCCGCCGCCCGTGGCCGCCCAGAAGGGCGGGACCCCGCAGAGGAGGAGGAAGAGCAGGACCCCGAGGGACCAGAGGTCGGCCTGTGTGCCGTACCTTCCCGCGTGCACCTCCGGTGCCGCGAACAAGGGCAGGGACACTGGGTCTGAAAAGGGGACTCCTGAGAAGGGAGGGAGGGGAAAAGGGGAAGCAGGAAGGGGAGCGGGAAGGGGAGGCAGAGGAGAAGGCGGAGGGGACGGGTAAGGAGGGGGAGACGAGGAGAGCAGTGTGCGTGGGATGGTTGAAGGGCACCCAGCAGAGCCGAGGAGGAGGAAGAGGGGGACCCCGAGCGACCAGAGGTCGGCCTGTGTGCCGTACATCCCCGCGTGCACTTCGGGTGCTGCAAACAAGGGCGGTGTTACTGGGTCTGAGAACGGCACTCCTGGGGACGGGAGGAGGAGAAACGGAGGGGGAGGGGGAGGGGACGGGGAGAGCAGTGTGCATGGGATGGTTGCAGGGAATCCAGCAGAGGAGGGATTGGGCTAGTGGGAGAGAGATGGAAAGGGAGCATGGGGCGTGAGGTTGAGGGTGAGTGTGTGAGTCTCATTGTCAGGTGACTGGCAGATCAACCACTGGTCCAAGCGGGACCAACCTGGGTTGCCAGGCTAACACAGCGAAACCCAACCTAACACAGCCAGCCATCTCCCAAACTACAGGCTGGCGCTACAGGGCGGCGCTACAGGCTGGCACTACAGGGTGGCGCTACAGGCTGGCGCTACAGACTGGCGCTACAGGGTGGCGCAGGCAAGCAGAACATACCTGGGGTGACAAACGCTGCCCACTCGAATCCACTCAGCCGGGCATCCCCCAGCGGGCTGTCATCAGTGGGAAACACGACAGCATGGGGCGTGAGGTTACGGTGGGCCACGCCCTGAGAGTGGCAGTGGTGCAGCGCGTGCAGCAGCGCGAGGCAGAGCGGTGCTGCGTGGTGCTGAGGGATGGGGCCGTGCTGGCGCATGCGGTCGTGCAGAGAGAGGCGCGCCATGGGATCCAGTATGAGATGCACGGACTGGGAGGTGGAGGAGGGGGGAGAGGAGAGGGGGGAGAGGGGGGAGAGATTAGGCAGGGGAATGCAAGGAACTGCCACCCGCTGCCCTCAGTAGTGGTGGCGCATGCGGTCGTGCAGAGAGAGGCGCGCCATGGGTTCCAGTATGAGATGCACGGACTGGGAGGGTAAGAGGAGGAGAAGGATAGTGGGGTGGGGATGGGAGGACGGTGAAGAAGAAGAAGAAGAAGAAGAAAAGGAATTTATGCGTGTCAGAGTTATGGCAATGGTGGTGGCGCATGCGGTCATGTAGAGAGAGACGCGCTATGGGGTGTAGAATCAAATGCCCACCACGGAAACACGCTCACCGTGAGGCTCTCGAACTTGTCTCTGAGCCCAACGATGTGAGCATGCGGCTGCAGCACCTCCATCACTGCCACCTCCACCCCGATGGCCTCCGCCTGCTGCTGCGACTGGGAGGAGGGTGGAAGATGAGCGAGAGGGAGAGAGAAAGAGTCAAAAGTGGACCTTCTATAGTCTCCTCGGCTGCAGCACCTCCAACACTGCCACCTTCACCCCGACCCGATGGCCTCCGCCTGCTGCTGCGAATCGAGCAGGGGGGGAAGGGTGGGTGAAACAGATGGCATGTGAGCAGCCTGACCAAATGCCATTGTGGGAATGCCAGATTGTTTCAACCCACCATTGTGCCTGCCTGACACTCCCACCCACCTGCTCGTCCACTCACCCGAATGCTCTGCTAGGAGATGGTGCGGCAGGTAAGAGGAGTGCCACACACACGGTGCACGCATCGCCTCAGCAGCGCATCTTGAGGGGGGTCGTAGTCGAGCCAGTCGTCCGCAGTCAACCACTCACCCACCCACCTGGTTACTCACGCCTTACCCGAATGCTCTGCTTGGAAATCGTGCGGCACATGAGCTGAGTGCCAGACGCCCGGTGCACGCACCGCCTCAGCAGCGCATCTCCAGGGGGGTCGTAGTCAAGCCAGTCGTCCGCAGTCAACGCATACTGCTTGCCCACTGCCCTCATGGGCCGCCGTAACACATTAAACACCCTCCCAATGAACACCCTCCCCTCCTCTTTCTTCCTCCGCCCCCCTTCCCTGCTGCCCCTACCCGCCTCCTCGTACACACACCCCTCCTCACATCCCTCTTCCTCATCCTCCTCCACCTCCTCCCCCTCCCCATCCTCTTCCCCCTCCTCCTCTTCCTCCTCCTCCCGACAATGCCTGCACCTATACGCTCCTCTGCTTCTCCTCTCACTCCCACCTCTCCCCACCACCCCTCGCGGCGTCTCCACTCTCCCACTCATCGACCCTCGCCTACCCAACGGAGACCTCAATTCAGAGTAAAATCTCACTCCCTTCCTCCCCTTCCCGCGCCTCTCCCTCCCCCTTCCCCTTCCCACCTCTACCCCCCCCTCTCTCCCACCCCGTACCCACCGCCTCGCACCCTCTCCAACCCCTCCGCCCGCTCCTTTTCCCAAGCTGCTGTTCAGTAAGCTGCTCTGAGCGCTATCCATGCCCTGTTCGCTGCCCACACCCCGCCCACTGCCCATGCCCTGCAGCGATCCCACACTCCGGTTACTGGGGTTGTCCTCATCTGAGAACGACTGCAGGCTCGCAATCTCCACGTTGAGACGCGGAAAGCCGCCCCAAACGGGATGAGTTCCAGATGCGCCTGCTCCAGATACGCCCTCCCCCTCTCCTGCAGCTGAAGCGGCCCCACCTGTTCCTCCCCCTGTCGCTCTACCCATGCCCCCCTGGGCTCCTCCCTCTGCTCCTCCCCCTGCCCCTCCCCCTGCCCCCCCCCCTGCTCCTCCCCCTGCTGCTGCTGCCGCTGCTGCTACTGCTCTACCGCCGCTGCCTCTGCGGAGGAAGCTTCCTTCCGCGTCCCTACCCCCTCCACCTCCCCTCCCCCCTTCTGCCGCCTCTGCTACAGCCGAGATGCTCTGTGGCGAGCCTGCCAGAGCCCACTCCACCACACTGCCTGAGTCACTCTCCTCCTCCTCCCCTCCCCCGTCTTCTTCCCCTCCCCCTTCCCCCGCCCTTTCCCCGTCCCTTCCCCCCATGCCTCCGCAACTCCCCCCTATCTCCGCCACTGATTGCTGCCGCCCAAATGAAATCTCCCCAACATCTGCCCCGCCATCTTCACCCCCCTCTTCCCAACCACCCCCATGCATTGTTCCACCCTCTCCGCCCCCTCTCCTCCCTCCCATGCCCCTCTCTACCTGTCCATCCGCCCATCCCTCCCCCACACCCTCTCTTCCCCCCTCCTCCCCCTCCCCAGACTCCACCTCCCCTGGTTGAGCACACTCGTTATCGCTAACCGCTCGCCTGTGTTTCTGCCTCCCGTTCCCACTCCCTCCCAGCGCCTGCCCCCGGAGTTTCCGCTGCCCGTTAACCTGCCCGTGGTCCGAGTCCCCGTCCATGCCATCTCGTGCCACGTCAGCGCCAGCAGCAGTAGAGTAGCTCTCAAAGCTGCTGCTGTAATCCACACCATCCCCCACAGATCCAGAGCTCTGCCTTGATAGCCTCTTCCCTGAACTTAGGGCGTATTCACTCTTCCCTCTCCTGTGCGATGTCCCTGTGCCCCCTCCCCCGGCCATACTCCCCCCCCCTGCCCCTGCTCCCGCCAACCGCGGAAACTGCGGCTGTGGCAGTGGCTGTAAGGGTGGCTGACGCATCAGCTGCTGCTGCTGCTGCGACGGCTGCTGCGGTGATTGTGACTGTGCCTGTTGTGATAACAACGGAGGGCTGCCAGAGGACTGCTTTATAGGGAAACTGGCACTGTGGCTGCCACCTGTACTGCTGCCTCGCCCGGGCCCTGATCCTCCGCCGCTGCTGCTGCTGCCACTGCTGCTGCTGATGAAACCGCTGCTGCCACCGCTGCTGCCACCACCACCGCTGTTGCCGTTTCCCATGCTGGCGCTGCTGTTACTGCTGCCTTTCCAGCTAGCCACTCCCGAAGCGCCACCTGTCGAGAGGCTTCGGCGTGAGGGGGAGGAATGGCGAAGGGGACTACCAGACGACGCTACAAGAATAGACCCAGCTCCTCTCGTTGGCGAAACCCCTCTTGGCTTCTCAAACCCTACCGGAACACTGTTTCCTGCTCCTGCTGCTGCTGCTCCCCCAAACCCCCCCACAACGCCTCCGCCCATCCCTTCGCCAGTCCAGCTGCTCGCAGCGCTATGCCCACCCATACCCAGCCCGGCGCCCCCGTCCAAGAGATGGTGGGGGGAGACGAGCGGGGGAGGCGCAAGGTTGCTTCCGCCAATGGTCCCCACGCCGCGGCTGGGGCTGCTGCTAGGGCTCCGACGACTAGGAGACGATTTCCTTCCGCTGTCACTAGAGGAACGGGGGAATTGCCTACATGCTGGGTGGTGCACGGGGTGGTGGGGGGGCTGGCTTATTGCTGACGCAGCACCACCAGAAGCGGCAGCAGCAGCAGGGGCAGTGGGCGCTGTTGTGCTGCTGCTGCCATCGAAACCCCCACCAGCAGCACCACCGCTACTCGGTTGCCCGTGGAAACTATTACTTCCATGCAGCCGAATCCCTCCATGCATCCTACCTCCGCCGTGCACACTCCCGTCCGCGTTCCCACCATCTCCACCGCACTCTACCACCAAAACATCCGCTCCACCCCTTTCCGCCCTCTGCTGCCTCCCCGTCGTTACAACCCTACGTAACTCCACCCCCCCGCCAATTTCGGCCGGTCCTCTCCTCTCCTCCGGACCCATTCCCATACCAGGCGAATCTGGGCCGCTAGCGTTTCCGTCTGTTGACAGAAACTGGTCCAGAATCAGGTTGTACGAGTCGCGCCGGCCCAGCTCCGACCCCAGGGCAGCGGGGCCGTCCATGCGCCCTGGCGCGGCGGATGCGAACGCGCGGAGCTGCCTTCCGCCTCCGCGCGCGGAGTCTTGCAGTCCCGTGGCGGTGCCTTTATGCGTGGGCAACGCTGCGGGGACGGACGAGTTGCGCGGAGGCATCATCATAGATCGCCCTGCCCCGGATACCACCTTCCCCTGAATGGAAAACGGCGACGCACCAGCTCCGCCTCTCGGCATTCCCGAGGCTCCGCCGCCTCCGCGCGGGACTGCGCTCCCAGCCGCCCTTCCTCCCCCTCCCCCGCCCCCTCCGCTGTTGCTCCGCCCGAAGCCCGTTCCGCCGCTTGGCGGTCCGCTGCTGTCCCCGCCGCTGCCGTCTTTAAGCGCTTCTTCCCACTCCTGCACGGTGAACCCGGCGTGATGCTGCTTCTGCGCGAACAGACTTGCGGGGTCGTGCGAGGAACTACGGGGAACGCCAATCTGTCGGTATATCGGCAGGTACGACCCTGTTCCAGGCCTGTTTCCCGCACCTGATCGCTCGGCTCGGCGGCGTGGATTCCCAACCGGCCCATCCGGACCTGACGGCCTGCTTGGGGAGGATCCCGAGCCTGCGTTATTAGGGTCGTCGTCATCCTCCCCGCATAGCGTATCTGCGTCTAAGGTTCGGGACCGGATCAAACTCGAAGGTTTGGAAACAAAACCAGATGCTTCGCCGTCCGAAGCTGCTCGCCGAGACGCCTTGCCAAGTTCGGCAGTTTCCCATTCGTTTCCAAAAGCCGCGTCTGCGCCTCCGTATGGATCATAAAACCGCGCTTCGTCAGATCCAGCCGCACCGCCAGAGCTTCCTAACACGCCGGAGGTAATCCCTACCGCTCCGCTACTCCGCCCCCCTTTCCCCCCGCCAAAGGCGGCGATTCCAATTCCGCCAACGGACCGCGAAGATCGCGGAATAGCTGGACTGCGCTGGCCCGAACCGCCGGCCCCCCCGCTTCTCCCAGAACCGTCGATTCCTGGGTTCATCATGGATCGTACGGACGACATGCCATCTGGCAGACTGTCCGGCGACTGGTAGTATCTAGGCTCGCTATCCTCTTCTGGTAGTGGTAGTTGCTGCTGCTGCTGCGGCTGCTGCAGGATTCTAGAGTGCAGCATCAGCACGGACGGCGGTTGCACCGTGATTCGCGGCTCCGACTTACACACGCGGTTGAGCACTCTGGACGGGCTAATGTCATCGTCAGTGTAAGTGTGAGTCATTGTACAGTGTTTGAACCGGGTAGTGTAATGTCATCATCAGTGTAAGTGCGAGTCATTGTAGACTGTCTGCAACGGGTAGTCTAATGTCATCGTCAGTGTAATGTGTGAGTCATTGTACAGTGTCCGTATCAGTAATTAAGAAGGCCGCACCAGTCGGTCTACTGTAATCGTCAGCGTAAGGTTGGGTCATTTGCGAAGTGTCTTGATTTTAACCACTAGAAGCCCGCGTCGGATCGACTAATGTCATCGTTAGTGTAAGCGTGAATCGTTGTCCAGTATCCGTGTTACATGTTGAAAAGCCCGCAGCGGTCATCTGATGTCTTCGTTTCACTCGCAACGGTCATCTGATGTCTTCGTTTCACTCGCAACGGTCATCTGATGTCTTCGTTTCACTCGCAACGGTCATCTGATGTCTTCGTTTCACTCTCGCTGGTATACACAAGGTGCGTACCCCGGTGCAGGGGCCCCGACTCGCACTACGATGCGGTCAAAACTTTCTGAAACGAAAAAAATCAGGCTTTGCTCCAAGCCTAGCGAGTTCTTTCGGGAACTACGGGGACGCTGGCGACTACGAAATCGATTTCTTCCCTCGAATCTAAGCAATGAATTCTCGACGCGCGCTGCTGGCCCAGTACAGCATCTGCGAGTAAATAATATTATATCAACAGTCTGCTGACATCTCCCCTAGTCTCGTTAATTCGTACACTATTCTCGCCCCGCACAACCCAAAAAAACCTCGAGTTAATCGGACAATAACGTCAATCAGATGCTTTACTATCACTGCTCTAACACTGGTGAGCGCAGGTCATAAATACGCCTGCGAATGCTTTATTGTTGAGCCATAAGTGGTGGAGAAGCTAAGACCTCTGCCAAGCATGAGTACCTTCTGGCGAGTCCCACTCCACGTGGGGTGGTTGAGATGAATCATGAGAGATCACTGACCTGCACGGGAATAGCATGGCCTGGCCAACTTCAGCCGGTGTCAAGTACGGTGAGGTACATTTAACAGAGTTCAGGCACGGTTTGTTGGTGCTGCTGACTGTAATGAACCAGTCAACAACCTTTTGCCCGATTTGAAGAAAACGCTGCTGTTTTCGGCACGAAGAAATGCACCACACTGGCCTGGCAGTGTGCGTCTGCGGAAACAGAGCGCGGTCCACTCGAAAGAACCCCGAACGAAGGGCAGCTTCGAGCAGCCCAAGGGCCACGGACAAGATCAAAGGTTCAAGGGCAAACATACCGGCAGAAGGAGGTTCGGGGGGGGGGGGGGGAGAGGTGGGGAGGGGGGGAGAGGGGGCGGGGTACAGTAGTTAGAGGCGGAAGTGTGGAAAAGCCCGAAGCCATACCGAACAAAAACGCGTCGTCATACCTGCGCCGAAGCTCAGGCCAAGGTTTACCGCCAGGTGCGGATGTTTGACATTCACGGTTCGTTTGTACTTTCTTCTTGAATGGTCGTTCGGCTCGGCAGCACTAGAGGACAGAGTCGTACGCAGTGCCTGTCTGCCACCAGGCAGGACCTTGCAAAAAACGACAGGTTACCAGAAACGGGTCAGATATTTATTTTCCATATGATTTCAGGGCTCACTTGCTTACGAACCCGTACCGGGCTCAGGCTCTTGTCCTGGGCTCAAATCATCAAGCCTCCACTTAGCGTAAGTAGACACGTGTGGTTGGACATTGATGAGAGCAGCCTGTAAAACCTTCCACTGAAAGACAGGCCGAACTCTCTTCCCACATTTAATCCTCCTGCTTAGCTGAATAATTTTCACGCCGCCCAGCATTCGTCGATGCTGCGCACCCCCAACCCAACCCCAACCTGAAAAGTACAATCATGAAATGCCAGGGCGACCGAAAACGAAAGCAGATCCATCTCCCAGTGCGACTGCTGCCATGCCCCCCAGTCACCTCCTCGCTCTTGTGGAGTGGAGTGGGTCATCAAACAACAGCAAGAGGCTGCAGCAGTGACCCAATGAGGGTCCCCCCTCCACCAATAGAGAAGCATTGACGATAATCTTCCGAATCCTGCTCTGATTTGCCCCCAAACCGACCACCACCACCGCCATGCTCCCGCTGAGCAGGAGGACGACCACCTGACGTGATGCATGCAAACTGCGAATTGTCAAATGGTTTTTCCTTTTTGGTTCGTTGGTGCTTGTGGTTTACGCTCTGGCGAATTGTCGAACGGCAGGGCGAGTTATCTGCACTTCTCGCTGCCCAGTTATTTACTCTCAATGGGTGAACGATGGTTTGAAGGGATTTTTTTACACTACTAGCTTTGTTTTACACTAGCATGAGGGATTCAGCAGTAGATGAGGGAGAATGATGATTCCTTTCCTTCTACCAACTGACCAACCCCAATTGCAGAATGAACACATGGACTAATATACTCAACATAATGATTTCCTTTCCTTCTACCAACTGACCAACCCCAAATGCAAAATCCTCCCACCCCTGCACTCATGACTGACCGTACATCACAACAATCTCCACAATCTCCACACCTCCAAAGGAATGAAACTCAGGCAGTAGCCCTAATTCATACTCTTGGAACAAGGAGCCTCCTCGTGAGATGAACCCTCAGCTGCAACTCCCTTTCCACCATCCATAGACAATTCTCCATCCCCCGTACCCCCTCCCCCTATCTGCCCATCCTCTGTTCTAATCTCCCCTAACCCCTCATGCCCGGAATTACCTGCCCCATTCCCTCCCACAGCAGGCAAGGGCAGCTTGAAAGCACTATCTCTCAGCGGACTCTGCCCGGGCATGAAAGGGGGCGGCGGGCTGGACCCCGGGTGAAAATCCACCAATGGCGACACAGCATACCACGACTTATCCGGAGCAGGAGAAGGGGGGAAGCTGCCATCCCTCATACCATGCACCTGCCCTGCAGCCGTATCCGAAGCTGTGTCCGAAGCAAAACCGCCTCCCAAGCCTCTCGCACTCCCACCGAACCCAGCAGTGGCAGCAACAGCTGATCCGGCAACTGCTGCTGCTGACCCCCCTTCTTCTGAGTACTGAGTGGTGGAGCGGCCTAGGGGTTCCTTGTCTCTATGGCTGTCTCTGTCCTTCTCCCCGCCGTGGCTGTTGTGCCGAATGGCATTACTCAGTGCCTGCACGCGAAGGCTCTCCTTTTCCTTCGCCCCACTTGCACCACCAGCAGCACCAGTACCCGAGCCAGTACATCCCCCACCCCCTACGGGTGCCCCTGCTCCCATTCCTGTCCCAGCCCCTACCCCTGCGCCACCAGCCGCCACTGCCCCCATGCCTGAACCAACCCCATTGGCAAAGCTCAATGAAGGCGCCAACACAGCTCCGCCTCTGCCTCCCCCCGCCCCACTAGGTCCCGCCCCCAGCGCGCCTGCAGTAGCGGGGAGGGGGGAAGGCGCAGCGCCCGCCTGTGCGCTCTCCTCCGCGCTGCCCATCTGGGGCACCAGGCGCACGGGTTCCTGGCTCGACCGCGTCCGCGCCATCGGGTTCCCCCCCAATGGATTCCCCCCACTACCACCTCCGGCCCCCGCCCCCCCGCTATGGCCCCCCGCGGGGGGCGGAAGCAGGTCCCGCTTGGAGTTATTCGGGGAAGCCCTGCGCGCCCCAGATAAACCTGCACCAGTAAAACCTCCCCCTGGAATACCCGGACTGGTGTAACTCGGGCCAGTAGCACCTGAACCCGCAGTGGCCATGGCGGAATAACCCGACTGCCCGTGCGTACCCGTGCTGCTGCTGCCTCCCGCTCCGCCTCCCGCGCTCCACGCTCCGCTGGGACCCCCAACTCCGCCGCTGGACTCCCCCGAGGCGGACGGAGGCGCGGCCGTGGGGCTGCCGCGGTCTTCATACTGCCCGGCGGGCAGGCTGGAAAGAAAGAGCCCCAGGCGTTCCATAGCAGCTGCGTCCGCGCTCCCGTCCCGCCCGCTTTCCCCATCCCCTTCCCCCTCCCCGTCCCCCTCCCCTTGCGCCTGCTTACCCCGCGGGGACCTGAGTCGCACGGGTTCGTTCGTGGTTTCGTCTACCGTCGCAAACGACTGATCCGATTCTTCCAGCCAAGCAACGATCCGCTGCCGCCCAGGCATGGCATTGAGATACGATACGGATCCGGCACTGTTCACTGCGCGCGATCCCACGGCTGCGGCATAGTGCTGCTGGTGCTGGTGCAGCTGCTGGTGGTGCTGCATGTGCTGCTGTATCGTCGTCGGTCCCGCGCTGCTCGGCCGCTCATCCAAACCTCCCCCTCCGCCTCCGCCGCCTGCGCCGCTGCCTGGTCTGATGTCTATACCCGATGCGCCAAACCCTAGCCCCGGGCCGGCCGCCATGATTACCGGCCCCATATGGCTCTTGCCTCTATCTGTCGCTATAGGAGGCTTCGACGAAGCATCTCGGGAAGCCCCCCGACCCGACCCACCTCCGCCGCCGCCATGCGCTGCTGTGATGCCGCCGCCGCCGACACCGCCGCCGCCTCCTCCTACTACTCCTCCGCCGCTGGGGGCGCCGCTGCCACCGCTGATCCCAGTGGCGTTCTCCGAGCGAATGCTGCGAATTTGCGCGGCGTGTAACACGGCGACTGACGACATGGCGACGCGGTCGTCTGCGGCCGCCATTTTACTAGCGTATTCGCGCACGCCGGCATCGCCGACGGGGGAAGAGGCGGAAGGCGCGGGCTTCCGCGGGGTGTTCCGCGCGGGCGGCGCAGGTGTCGCATAGTCGTCGTTGACATTGTCGTCGTCGCCCGCCTTGGGCCGCGCGAAACAGCAGAACATGGTCGCTCGCGAATGTCGTTAGCGCCGTAGCTCGATTGCTGCTCGTAACCCTCTTCTTCGCCAGCGGTCGTCGCCAGTGGCTCCTCAGTTCGCTGGTGAGCGTCGCTGGCGACACCTAGCCCTACTCTACTACCTTCGATGAGCACCGAGTCTAACTCACTGGTTCGGTACAGAGCCTAACTCATAAACAATGTTGAGAAGGCGGGGAGAAGGCTGGGAAAGGCCGGCGGAAGCCGGAAAACCTACTCCGGCGGGAAAGTAAACTCGAAACTTGCTGGTAAGCGAGCAATGACCGGTCTGCAGGTGACTTACTCTCCTCGCAACGAGGGACAAGCGCGCAAGAATGGAGTGAGATGCTAGAGGGTGAATGATCGTGGTCGGCCAGAACCGAACTGAACCGAACTGGACGGGACTGGACTGGACTGGTCGGAGACTTCGACCAGGAATTGACGAGCGCCGAGGGCCATTGATTTAATTAAGAGATACGGCTTCATTCTTTCGGCAGGAGTAGGGCTCTCGTTGGAGGGTACATGGTCGGCGGATATTCAGCTGGAAAACCATGAGACGGAGGAAGAACATCGTGTCGTCGCGTGTGCGCGCTGATGACTAGGTTCTGGTAAGGGTATGAACGGCTCAAGCCAAGATCACGCGTCGGGAACGTCAGATATACTTCATAGCGCCAGTACCTTTTACTAAAGAACCAATTCCGAGTCGAGAAACAACGCGGAGAGCAAGTGCGTGCTCGAAGCGCGTGACTCCATGTTAGCTTGCGATGGAGGAGATGTACGTTCGCCTGACGCCTCTTGGTATTTTACCTCCAGATAAAGACCACGTGGCCTCAAGGCCTGACACGTCAGACTGGCTCAACCCGCGAAACCTACGCGAGACTAAGAACATACTAACACCACGTGGCGAGACACGAGGTAACCCTCCACTGTGAAGATAGACTGCAATAAGAGCTGGCTACCCTTGGAATGCACGAAATTGGTAGAACCGATGTGCTAGGGCTGGGAGCCATGGCTGTTTTTGAACCAAGGAAATCAGATAGGCTTTGGCTGGGCAGGTAAGGAAGGGATGGATGGGTTGGATGGCGCTGGCTGAATCGACACGGGTTGGCGGAACGACTCACCGGTTCGGGGGAAGCGGCGGGGGCGTGTTGAAAGAAGGGGGAGGTTTGGTGGTGTGAGCGGGGAAGGGGGACGAAGATGAGAGGTAAGAGGTGGGGGAGAAATGCTGGGGAACAGGCGGACTGGCAGAGAGTGCGGGGATGTTGTGACGGGAGGGGCCACTGGGGGGAATCGGGAGATGATACAGATGCTGCGGAAACGACATCCATCAAGGAGTGTGTTTTCGATAGCAGGCAGGTTTGGTTGGTTTGAGATTATGGCGGAGTTGACTCATGAAGAGAGGGGGGGAACACCGACACTGTTGCGAAACCGAAACAAGTACATTTGCGTTAAACCATCCCTCTACGATAACATAACCAAAAAAAGGATTACCAGCAAAAGTATACCACATCAGGCAGGCTGGCTACAATTCCCCGACAGCTATATACACTGGTGAAACGTCAGGAGCCTTATATCCAAAGAAAGCATGGCAAAATCAGGAGCGGCCTTCAAGGCATCGCGAATGCTGGTGTATGGTCTTGCATGTTCACCAGCCTTGCGTATTCACCACCCTTGGCCATGAGCTGTGCATGTGTGCCCACCTGGCATAACAACATCAAATATACCGTAAGCAAGACCAGAATCATGGAAGGGCGTTATCAACTCATGTCGAAAACGAGAAGGCAGCATCATGTTGACTTCTTGATGATCGTTTGAACGAACAGGCCATCGGAGAAACAAAACAAACTAATTAAATGAATGATGCAGATGTGTACATTGGACACTTGCGCAGCACTCACCTCTGTTATCCTGCCATGAGCCATCACCACGATGCGGTCTGCTGCCTGGATCGTAGACAGCCTGATGAAAAATAGCAGAGATTGGGGTTCATAATTGGAGCATGGGAAAAGCATAATTCAACAGAAAAGAAGAGCAGCACATACGGAAACAGCCGATGCAGTCAGTAAACCACACAACACCAGTCACAACACCATTTCCAACACACCATGATGCGTGTAATCACACCCACCTGTGTGCAATCACAATGACGGTACGATCGCGCCGGCCATTCTTCCCCCTCTTCATCGCCTCATCCAGTGCCCCCTGCACGTTCCTCTCACTTTCCACATCCAGCGCACTCGTCGCCTCATCCAAAATCAGTATCTTCGGGTCACGAACCAGCGCCCGGGCAATCGCGATTCTTTGCTTCTGCCCGCCGCTCAGCCGCGAGTTGTCCACCACTGTCGCGTACCCCTCGGGAAGCTCCGAAACGAAATCGTGCGCGTTGGCCGCGCAGGCCGCGCGTGTGATCTCCTCGTGGCTCTTTTTTCGGCTGCCCGAGCCATACGAAATGTTTGCTGCCACGTCTGTGCTGAAGAGACGTGGCTCTTGGCTGACTACCCCCATCTGCCCGCGCAGCCATTTAGTGTCAAACTCCTTTATAGGAACACCGTCCAAAAGAATCTGGACAGGAAAGAAGGGAGAGGAGGGAAAGGGTAGGGGTGAAACTCGGGAAGGGAGCCGCGAAACATGGGGTGGGGGGGAAATGGAGGTGGAACGGGGGTGGGGAAAACGAGGGACTGGGAGGACAACAGTGCAAAACCCCTCCTAACTCTTGATACCTTGCAAACCCCCCCCTCACCTCTCCGTGTGTGGGTTCATAGTGCTGCTGCAGCAGCCCCACGAGAGTGCTTTTCCCACTGCCACTCAGCCCCACCAGCGCCACCAGCTCGCCGGGATTGATGGTGAGATTCACATGGGATAGCACGGAGGCCTGCAGGAAGAATAAGGGGCGAACGGAAGGGTGGATTGAAGTGAGATGAGGATATACAAAGAGGTGAGAAACAGTCATCTCTTTGCCACTCAGCGCCACCAGCGCCACCAGTGCCACCAGCTCGCCGGGGTTGATGCTCAGATTCACATGGGACAGCACGGAAGCCTGCAGGAGAACCAAAGGGAGACAATGAAAACTCTCACAGATCAAGCCAGCTCAGGGGCGTTCAGGAGGTGCCAGAGGAGTGTGAAGTAAACACAATGGTCCTTTCTGCCCATCACATGCCGTATGCCTGGTAGACGCTTTTGTGAAGCTTTAAAAAATGATCAAGGCTAATCTATGACGTGCCATTTGAAGGACACGCCAAGCAACCATGAAGTTGGCTCCAAGCAGGCAAGCTCAAGAAAAGCACGCACCTCAGGGCGGGTTGGGTATTGGAAGGACACATCTCGGAACTCTATCTTGCCTTGCAGCCATGGCATCTGTAAACCTGGCAGCACGCACGGTGGGCGGGGGGGGCGGGGGGAGGGAGGGGGAGGGGATGGGATCAGCGCACACAGACATGAGCTTGTGGCGTCAAGTCAAGGCGTGAACGCATGGAGGCATCAGGCACAAGGGTTTGCATGGGCTATGGATATGGGATGGGACCATGGCATGGGCAGGACATGGAGTCCTAAGGGCCGCTCAGTAAGTGCCCAACCCACCCACCATGTGGCATGTGGCATGCATGTAAGGCTAGGCATGTGATACGTGACCTAACCTCGCCTTTGCAAGCTGTGGCGAGTGCGGCAGGTCTAAGAGCCGATACACGCGGCTGCAGGCGCCCAGGGAGTCCATGAGAGACGCCCTGTGGTCGCCCACCCTCCAGGTGGAGTGGCGTGGCGTGGTGTGCACATGAAACCCAGCCGTGTGACCTGATACGTGTCCTAACCTTAGGCCTGTGCGAGCTCACCTTTGGTTTGTGCGAGCTGTGGCGAGGATGGCAGGTCCAGGAGTTGAAAGACGCGGCTGCAGGCGCCCAGGGAGTCCATGAGGGACGCCCAGTGGTCGCCCACCCTCCAGGTGGCGTGCACATGAGGCCTAGGGGAGTCCTAAGGGACGACCAGTAAGTGACCAACCCACCTTGTGTCTTCGCGAGCTGTGGTGAGGATGGCAGGTCCAGCAGTTGGAAGACGCGGCTGCAGGCGCCCAGGGAGTCCATGAGGGACGCCCAGTGGTCGCCCACCCACCAGGTAGCGTGCACGACCCACTCGGCGTACAGAATAAACTGCGTGAGCTGCTCTGCTGTGATGGCGCCCGACATCACTGCACTGCCTCCCATGATTATAGCGAGGACCTGGTGGCAGGAGGGGACAGGGGGTTGGGAAAGGAGGGGAGACGGGGGTGAAGGAAAGAGGTGGGGACGGAGGGGTCAGTGGTCAGTGCGAGCACCTGGAGGGCTGTGCGCACTCCAAAGGGGCATGGACATGGGCTGCACACTTCTGGGAGAAAGAAAGGGAAGGAGGATCAGACACATGATATGGCAGGGCATGGCATGGCATGACATGGCAGGGCATGGCATGACATGGCAGGGCACGGCATGGCAGCCACGGGATGGTTGGCCACAGTGCAGATATGGCCTATTAGCTCAGCTGGTTTGCGCGTCGTGCTAATAACGCGAAGGTCACAGGTTCGAGACCTGTATGGGCCAGTCTTTTGCTCAATGCAGCACGTATTGTACGACAGGGCACAGCATGACCCATACCTGAGTGGCATTGTAGATGGTGTTGCCACCGAAATTCCACATGCCATACGCCACAGAGCGCCTGAGGCCCACATGCTGCAGGCGCTGCAGTGGCACCTTGTACCTGGTGGGACGGGAGGAGGAAAGGGTAAAAGAAAACGTTCTTTTAGTCAAATAAAAAACGCGCATATGGCCCTTGTTTCTGTTTTACTTATCGCCACACTTGAAGCAACCAGCAGCAACCTGCAGCACCTAGTACTCAGCAGAACCTAGCAGCGCCCAGAAGCACCCAACAGCACCCATCAGCACCTAGAAGCACCCACCTGTTGACTTCCTGCTGCTCCGTGCCAAAAGTGCGGACCACACGAGCCAGTGAAATGGTCTCCTCTGCCACCTGCAACAACAATGATGGGGCGAGGAGGTAAGGCAGGGCGAGGAAGTTAGGCAGGGCGAGGAGGTAAGGCAGGGCGAGGAAGTTAGGCAGGGCGAGGAGGTTAGGCGGGGCGAGGAGGTTAGGCAGGGCGAGGAGGTTAGGCAGGGCGAGGAGGTAAGGCAGGGCGAGGAGGTAAGGCAGGGCGAGGAGGTAAGGCAGGGCGAGGAGGTAAGGCAGGGCGAGGAGGTTAGGCAGGGCGAGGAAGTAAGGCAGGTCGAGGAGTTGAGGCAGGGGTTAGGCAGGGCAACGTGGTAAGGCAGGGAGACGGTATAGCAGTGCAGTGGAGCAGTGCAGTGGAGCAGTGCAGTGGAGCAGTGCAGTGGAGCAGTGCAGTGGAGCAGTGCAGTGGAGCAGTGCAGTGGAGCAGTGCTGAAGCCTTGCTCTCACCTCATTGGCGGATGCAACAGTGTCTTGGATGAGGCGGGCACTCTCTCTCTGGAACCTGAGGACACACATCAATACACACAACACGCACACACAGCCATTCCATTGTCAGCGAAGGAGGCAGAGTACAAGCAAGAAAGTAGCATGTTGTCTTATCACAATTGTCACGCATCAACCCATCAACCAGCCAACCAGCCAACCCGCCAACCAGCCAACCAGCCAACCAGCCAACCAGCCAACCAGCCAACCAGCCAACCAGCCAACCAGCCAACCAGCCAACCCGCCACCCAGCCAAACCTGTCAACCAGCATGGCGCCCGCCCCATGCAGCACCCATACCTGCCCCACGCCAGCAACCATGCCTGCAATACGCGACAAGGCAACCAACCCCACCTGCCAACCCACCGTACTTGGCAGCCCACGGTACCTGCCAGCCCACGGTACCTGCCAGCCCACGGTACCTGCCATAGGCGACGAGGCAGCACCACATGAGGGCGCAGAGGCCCGCGGAGATGAGCGCCATGCGCCAGGAGAGGCGCAGCAAGAAGAACATGGCGCCCGCCCCCTGCAGTGCGTTGCGCAGCATCACGTTGACGTCCCCCGCTGTGCTCTGCGCCACCTGCTGGCAGTCCGCGCCTAAGCGTGAAGTGAGGTCGCCCACCGACTCCTTGTCAAAGAAACTCACGTCCTGAAGGAGAGGGACGGGCGCGGAGGGGAGGGTGGGGGTAGGGAACCGGTGGGGAGAGGTACGCACGCATACGGCACCAGTGAAGGCCTGTGACGTTGACGTCCCCCGCTGTGCTCTGCGCCACCTGCTGGCAGTCCGCGCCCAAACGTGAAGTGAGGTCGCCCACTGATTCCTTGTCAAAGAAACTCACGTCCTGTGAGGAAAGCGTGGTGGGGGAAGGGGTGAGGGAGGGGAAGATGGAGGGCAGGAGAGGGAAGGGGTGGGGGAGAAGAAGGGGAGCGGGAGGGAGAAGGGAAGGGGGGGGAAAGGAAGGGGAGGTGAGGGGGAAGGGCGATACGTCTTACGTCAAAGGGATTCACGTCCTGAGGGTGTGCGCGTGCGGAAGGGGGGAGAGAGAAGGGAGGCTGGTGGATAGAGGCGGGGGTAAGAGGTGGCGCATGCAATGGTGGGGACGACAGGCATACCTGGTGCATGATGGTAGAAAAGAGTGCCTCTCGCATGCGGCACACCATGCGCATGTTGAGCACCGTGAAGCAGAAGGAGCGCAGCCCACTGCGCGCGGAGCGAGGAAAGATGTAACAGAGAGGATAGGGTAGGGGGGGATCATGAGGGGGCAGAACGAGGGAGGAACGGAGGGAGTGAGTGAGTGAGCATGTGCAACACCACGTACATGCCGGGAACTGTGAAACAGAACAAGCATGCGTCAGCTTCCAATTCGATTGCATACAAGTGCATGAGAACGCATCGGTGCTCGGTACAGCCTGCACAGTCCACCCACCCACCCACGCACGCACGCACCTGAAGGCCCCGCAGGCGAGCGTGAGCGCGACGAGCAGCTTGGCGTTGTGCGCGAACTGCGCGCCCATGTTGTTAGACGCCGCGAAGATGGTCGACGCCAGCAGATGCGGGATCGTCACCTCCGATATCTGCCACGTGGCACGGGCGGACAGTCGTGTGGGCGACGCGAGTCAAACGGAAATACACATGAAACTGCTACTGTTTCACGCGAGAACTAGCAAACGATCATCGTGCAGTCGACCGTTGTCCTGAACCCCATGCCCGAAACCTTTTGAAATTTTCTCAAATGTGAATTCTCATACCGTGCCACGCATCCCTTATCGTTCCAACCACAGCCACTCACCGCGGCAAGCGACAAAAAGACGAACGCCACCACCACCAGTCCCTTATCCGGAGCACAGAATCGCCACAGCTTGCGACCAGCATCCCCCAGGCTCCCCACACCCTCAGCTTCCGCCGCCCCCGCTCCGCCTTCCCCCTTCCCCTCACCGGCCGCCGCCTCGTACCCCATGTTCTTCTCCGCGTTCCCCTCCATGCGCCACCAGCTGCCATACGGCAACGCGGACCGCAACACCGCCAGTACCGCCACCATCCGCGCTACAGCCCGCAGCGCAACCGCGCGCGCAACCTCAAGCGCCCCTTCCGCATTCCCCGCTTCCGTAGCAGCAGCAGCAGCAGCAGCAGCAGCCGCCGCTCCGCGCCCGCCGGCGCCGGACTCACCATGCTTTGTCTCGAGCGCATCAACATTTCCGTTCCCATCGTCGCTCAGGCGATGCTGGCCGGACGGAGCGTTTTCGTTCTCGAAGTGGCTCCAGGCGCTGCTGTCTCCGTCCCACGCCCATGACATCACGTCCGGAAACGGGTACTCGTACTGCCCCATCGTAGGTCCCTGGCCGTTGACTTCGCCGTTGACTTGGCCGTTGACGTGGCCGTTGGGCTTGCCGTTGACTTGGGCGTGGACATCGCCATTGGCTTGGCCGTTGACCTGACCGTTAACTTGGCCGTTGACCGTGCCACTGACCTGGCCATTGACCTGGCCATTGACCGGGCCGTTGACCCTCCCGTTCACCTGGCCGTTCGCCTGGCCGTTCGCGTAGCCATTCAGCTGGCCGTTTACTTTTCCGTTCACATCGCCATTCAGACGACCATTCACCTGCCCGTTTACTTTCCCAATCGCATGGCCGTTCACATGACCGTCCACGTTTCCAGATCGCTGACCATTCTGCCAGCCGTTTACTTTTGTCATCCCGTGCCCCCTCTGATCCGTCCGATCGCCCACCAATCGACGGCTGCCAGGCAGCGGGAGGGCCTCCTCCCGTCGCGGCTTGCAATTGGCGCGAGCCTGCTCGGATTCCTCCAATTCCCACGTGGATCCTCCCGTGCCGCCCCTCCCGGGTCCCTTATCGTCTCCCAGAGCCCAATCGCGCGGGCTGCTTCCGTCTGCCGTCTCACACACCACGGAGCCCTTCCCGCTCCTGCTACCTCTCCAGGCCTTAGCGAGACTTCCGCCATACTTAATGCGCCTGCTGGTCCTGGGCTTTCCGCGGATTCTGCCGTTGCTTCCGAGCCTAGAGTGACCACCGTTGTTTCCGAGCCTCGTGTAGCTGGCATGCGTGGAGACTGAAGTTCTTGGTTCGTCGGTGACAAGGGGAAAGCCGAACCTAGAAGAGCTAAACGTACCTGAAAGGTTCCTAAAACCAGAGAAACGAGGAAAATTTGAGCTAGCGTTAGGAATCTGAACTTGATAGCGGCGTAAAGGATCTGAAGGAGGCTTGTAAGCTACAGAATGTCCGCCAGGCGAAAGAGATGCGACGCTGGAATTTATGTCAATGGCTAATTTATAAGAGGCGTATTGACGAGCTTCCGTTAGAATCCCGGGTATGCCGGAATATACTGATGGGTTGCCTTTTCCATGCCTCAGTGCTAATCCGTAAGTCGTTGCTGGTGAGTGCCATGACGCGGTGTAAGACACCATATGCGAGACTGAATTCGACTGTAACGAGAACGGACCAAACCGCCGCTGAATTGCACGCGCCGATCAGTCGTTCTTTGCAAAATCTTTTGTCGTGGAAAGTGGCCGGAACGCTTGGGTTATTCAGCTCAAAAATGGCTCAGCAGGAGTAACGCAACAACGGCAATGATGGTTGTATTTTAAAGGTTCGCTATCCCTCCGCGAAGCACGGAACGTGGATGTAGAGGACAGCGGCAATGACCGTCTCGATAGCCATAATTTTGCAGTAACTGAAATATACCGAGAGAGACAAACCGGCTCTACGATGATAGCGCTGAAGCGGAGTCAACAACAGCTGAATCGGTGAGAAATCTAAGGAAGGCAATGCGGATAGCAAAGGTTCAATTGAGTTTGAATGAAAAGATAGCTTGCGTGCTTGCTAAGAGATGATGTTGCTCATGTGGTTTGTGCTTATGTAGTTGCTGCTAACCTGAACCTCGGGGAGTGATCAATGAAGGAGGCACAAGGTGAGAGGAGTAAGAAGAAGAGGAAAAGGAGTGAACTTCAAGGGCGAAGTAGCCGTTAGAGCTTCACAGTACTTTGCCAAACCTATCGGTTTCCTCAGTTGCTGCTCTAATTGCGGTGCCGAGCCAAAGCGTTGACAGCGACAAGGCCTTGGCCGAGCCTTGGCTGGGTTTGGTGACAGGAGGGCTTGGCGTCGTGTCACACATGGCGGGGAAGTGGCTCATCCGTCACATCAAGGGTCACCCGACTCGCGTATGATTGATCACGAAAAGCTCGCAGTTACCATTTGGGTCGCAAAGGATGTCAAAATATGAGGAGGGGAACTCTTCGATCACGTCGCGTCGCGAAGCCTTTCGCGCAGCCCCCAACAAACAGCGTCCACCGTGCTACAGTGGCCCCGGAACACCTGGTGCCTTGGGATGAAGGCCGCCCGGGTTTGAGGTTCGGGCTGGTAAACAACATGGTTGGTGAAGTTTTGCTGGGGTGCATGGGTAAAGTGTGCTTGCCGTGCGTCAGAAGCTGGCTTTACGTCGTCATGGCATGCGGCGTACCGAACCGAAGCATCTCTTTCCACGCATGCAGACTCAGGTAGCTTCGACATAGCGTCCACAGCGGAAACGCGTGGTGAAATCAATTTGTACAGTGTGACACACTAGACACTGTATTTCCAGACAAGGATTACGATCACCCTATCTCATCTCACACACTTGAAATCTGTTTGTGTTAAATGAAGCATGATTTTGTAGTTTATGATTTCTAATGCAGACAGCCGCCAGCACATCCAAATGCGTAGATGAAGCACACTGAAAACCAGCAACGAGGTCGCATCAGATTTGGACACTTCATTCCTGCATGGCTTGGCTTGCCAAGTATTGCTGCCGCTGTCTGTCCCTGTGTGCTCTGTGACTGCAGTAAACAATGCCAATTCATTAGTTGCTAGAAAGGCCACCAACATTGCCGCTTCTGACATCGCCATTGCAGATGTACCCAGAGTGTAGCAGCCCTTCATGCAACTACGACGGGTGTTCTGCACGTTTCCAAGTTTGTTACCAGCAGCAGCAGCCATCGGCTTTGTTGCAGCCTTAGCTGCAGCGTTGCCGCGGCAGCACAAACCACAGATGCTCCCACGGCCGTTGCCATTGGCGTTGCAGCTGCGGTAACCACACTGGCAACAGCTGCTGTAGTGGCAGCGTGATGTCAGCAGTGCCAGAAGTGACTACAGCTGCTGTAGCGACAGGAACGAACGAACACCCATGGCTGGAGGACACGTCTTGATCACCCATACCATACCATGCTTCCCACCCACATCATGCTTCCCACCAGTACCATGTTCCCCATCATTCCATGTTTCCCACCCATGCCATGTTTCCCACCCGTGCCATGTTTCCCACCCGTGCCATGTTTCCCACCCATGCCATGTTTCCCACCCATGCCATGTTTCCCACCCGTGCCATGTTTCCCACCCATGCCATGTTTCCCAACCATGCCATGTTTCCCACCCATGCCATGTTTCCCACCCATGCCATGTTTCCCACCCATTCCATGTTTCCCACCCATTCCATGTTTCCCACCCATGCCATGTTTCCCACCCATGCCATGTTTCCCACCCATGCCATGTTTCCCACCCATGCCATGTTTCCCACCCATGCCATGTTTCCCACCCATGCCATGTTTCCCACCCATGGCGTTTTTCCTCCCCATACCCGGTTACCAATCCATACCCTGTTTCCCACCCAAAGTCATCCCATATGCCCCACCTGTTCCATGCTTCCCGCACATACAACTTAGGCTCCCACAGTGAGTGCATGAGACAGATTCTGCACCGTTACACACTGCAGCTTGCCGTGTCAAGTGAACACAAGGGAACAGAAGTACAAAACTTGATGAAGTGCATAAACCATTCATTAGATGCTCTTGGAAAACATCAGATGCTGGGAAACACGAAGCAACAAGAAGCCATCAGAAAAGCTTTCCTCGTCAAGTGAGGCGGTTGGCACGTGCATTACTGACCCTGCTAGCCCTGCTAGCACGGCTGGCACGGCTGGCGCTGCTGCTGTTGCTGTGAGCGCTGAACTTGCTGTGAATGAAGCCGATGCCGTGAATGCCAGACCCACCACCACCACCGTTGCCATTGCCATTCCCATCACCGTTCCCACCACCGTTGCCATTGCCATTCCCATCACCGTTCCCACCACCGTTGCCATTGCCATTGCCGTTACAGCAGCAGCCATTGCCATTGTCATTGCCGTTTCCGTTTCCGTTCCCGTTTCCGTTGCCATTGCCGTTGCCATTGCCGTTGCCGTTGACATTGATGTTGTTGTTACCGTTGCCGTTGCCACAGCAGCAGCAGCAACAGCCATTGCCATTGCCGTTCCCGTTCCCATCACCGTTCCCATCACCGTTTCCATTGCCGTTCCCGTTTCCGTTGCCGTTTCCATTGCCGTTGCTGTTGACATCGATGTTGTTGTTCCCGTTGCCATTGCCATTGCCATTGCAACAGCAGCAGCAGCAGCCATTGCCATTGCCATTGCCGTTCCCGTTCCCGTTCCCATCACCGTTGCCATTGCCATTGCCATTTCCGTTGCCGTTGCCGTTGCTGCTGAGATTGACGTTGTTGTTATCGTTGCCATTGCCATTGTCATTGCCGTTTCCGTTTCCGTTGCCGTTTCCGTTGCCATTGCCGTTGCCGTTGACATTGATGTTGTCGTTACCGTTGCCGTTGCCACAGCAGCAGCAGCAACAGCCATTGCCATTGCCGTTCCCATTCCCATCACCGTTCCCATCACCGTTTCCATTGCCGTTTCCGTTTCCGTTGCCGTTGCCATTGCCGTTGCTGTTGACATCGATGATGTTGTTCCCGTTGCCGTTGCCATTGCCATTGCAACAGCAGCAGCCATTGCCATTGCCATTGCCGTTTTCGTTGCCGTTGCCGTTGCTGTTGACATTGATGTTGTTGTCGCCGTTGCCGTTGCCACAGCAGCAGCAGCAGCAGCAGCAGCAGCCGTTGCCATTGCCGTTCCCATTCCCATCACCATTTCGATTGCCGTTTCCGTTGCCATTGCCATTGCCGTTGCTGTTGACAATGATGTTGTTGTTCCCGTTGCCGTTGCCATTGCCATTGCAACAGCAGCAGCAGCAGCAGCAGCAGCCATTGCCATTGCCGTTTCCGTTGCCGTTCCCGTTCCCGTTCCCATCACCGTTGCCATTGCCATTGCCGTTGCCGTTGCTGCTGAGATTGATGTTGTTGTTATCGTTGCCATTGCCATTGCCATTGCCACAGCAGCAGCCATTGCCATTGCCATTGCCGTTTTCGTTGCCGTTGCCGTTGCCGTTGCTGTTGACATTGATGTTGTTGTTGCCGTTGCCGTTGCCACAGCAGCAGCAGCAGCAGCAGCCGTTGCCATTGCCGTTCCCGTTCCCATCACCATTTCCATTGCCGTTTCCGTTGCCATTGCCATTGCCGTTGCTGTTGACATTGATGTTGTTGTTTCCGTTGCCATTGCCATTGCCACAGCAGCAACAGCAGCAGCAGCCATTGCCATTGCCGTTTCCGTTGCCGTTGCCGTTGCTGTTGACAATGATGTTGTTGTTACCGTTGCCATTGCTATTGCCGTTGCCGTTGCCACAGCAGCAGCAGCAGCAACAGCCATTGCCGTTGCCATTCCCATTGCCATTGCCGTTGCCATTGCCATTTCCATTCCCATTGCCGTTTCCGTTGCCGTTGCCGTTTCCATTGTCATTGAGATAGACATTGTTGTTATTGTTACCGT